AGATAAGCCCCAGAGATTCAAGCTGCCAAGTTAAACTTCAGTTCATGCATAAGATAAGACGGAGTGGAAATTCGACCTTCCATTCCGGTGCGAATGTTTCAAATTTTACAAGTGACATCAGGTTTTGAATTATAGGTGAGCTCATTATGTATTCGGGTTGTTGCGAGGAATGTTTTGTCCTGACTTCAAAAGTGGGAGATACTAATTCAATATTTTTAAGCCATGTGATCCCGGCATAGAATAGATCATACCTTCCTTTCCCGTTGATATCGGAAGAGGCGACTAAAGAAAATTAATAATCAAAGGATTAGCAGCAGCATCCCTCTTTAAATATCACCAAAGCCTAACTGCGGTTGCTAATCCGCCTGGCATGTAGAATTAAACGTGGCAACTACTGACAAAACGCCCCTTTATAGAAGAGCCTATATTCAGCAATAGAAAATTAATGGCTAATATGGTGATACTAGAACAGTACAAATGTATCTTTATGGTGCGACTTCATCTGTCCATCCGTTAGTCACACCGCTATAATTGCTAAAGCTATCGATTTGAAATTAGAACAAATAATTTTAGGTAGTGTTAGTTGAAAAACCAATTGCTTGAAATTATTAATATGTGTAATTATCTATAATTACAGTATATTGAGTATTGCAAAGGAAATAAGTGATTTTCTTTTCATTTTCGTTATAAGGGATTCCAAAATCATCAACGTCATATTTTCTTCATGCTCAGCTTTAACTTGCACTCAAAAATGGGATATTAATAAGTTACTAATGCCTTATGAGCACAGTCTCTGTAAAATCATAATCTTATGAGGAAATATACATTTTAAAAATAAATATATTTTCCATTACCTTAAAATAGTTCTAAATTTTTAAAACTTAAGTGTAAGTAAATATGTTCAATGATTGTATGAGAATAGACTTAAAATTCTGAGCAGTTTAAGTAAACAAGCTTTATCAGAGGAAAACTTTGTATAGAAGTCGTCTGCATGGGTACTTCTGTCCCACCTGTGTTTCTGCTGTCAAGCAGCCATACTTGCATGGCTGTTTCGGTTTAAAGGATAAGATATGGCAAGACTTTTCTTGCTTTATGTGTTGCTACCAACACATGAAAGACACCATAGACTGATGACTATGGTGTATTTTCTATGATATTCACAGTATTTGGGCAATTGATACCATGCACTTTTCTATCAGTTTGTTTAAGTATCATAAAATAGTAAACGTAGCAGGAAATTTTATATGCAACCAAAAACATTCCCTGACTACGCATGTCTTGCAAATTTTCCTTTGCAATATGAGGAATTTTAAAAAACGTGACTACAAACATTTAAAATGCCTGCAACTTACTAGCAACTCTTGTGTTACAAGTGTTCATGGGTGACGGTAGCCACTTTCCATCAGATGAATCGTCTGCTTATTTGCCTCCCTAACGATAAAAAAATGCAATAGCATAATAAACGATTAGGAGTTATAGGTACATAAACCATAATCCTTATTACGGATAGTATAGTGTGAAAATAAAAGTGAAAATGGTTATTGGAATTAACTCAATTTATTACTAAAATAACATGCGAAATTCGGAGGATGCTAGCATTGTAAGAGGCCTATAGATTAACCTATAATAATCAGATAAACTATATTTTGTCTAATGGAGGAATCAAAGTCTATGGCATGTGTGGGTAAGACTATTAAGAGTACAAAAATAGGATATAAAATTATCTATTACAAATATTAATTTAAATTGATTACAAACCATTCCATCTCAATATTCTTCTGACTACTAAAGTGCGATATATGTAATCGAACCAAATATAAATTAATTTGCTAACCCCAGGATTTATCCAATCATACACCACCACTAGAGACAAATTAGGAATATGATGACTCGAAAGATGAAGGGATAGATACCTTTGGCAGACAGCTCTCTGTCTACACCACAAACTTGGCATGGCAGTAAATATATCGATAAAATAAATCCCATTTAAATACCTTTATTAATGAAGAATTAAGAAGCAGTAATTACCTATTTCATAGTATTTACAAAAGTATTGATATCGAAACTCAAGTTTCAAACTTTGTGCCTAATAAATGATTAAATTCGTTTAATTCCACAAAATGGGCCTCTCCATTGTTTGTTTTACGAGTATTGTTCCGATTTTCTGTGAAAACAATCCCTGTTTGGCATGCTTCACCGAAAATCAATGTAGGAAAAGTTATAATTCGCAAATTTTATTGGTTCTATCAGACCTTTGTTTATAAAGAGAATTTTGTTTGTTAATGGTCGCCGGCTTGGATCGGAAAAGAAGCTGATATATTTAAATATTTCCATGTGGTGAGGCTACTTCAATATATCAAACTTTACTTTTATCAAAGCGAGATTTCGTAGAAAAGTCATTTGCTTGTGTACCTCTGTCCCACTCATGTTTCCACGGTGAAGCAGCTGTTTTTGCGTGGCTGTATTTCAGTTTGAAAGGTGAGATATGACAGTGAAATTACGGAGTACGGAAACATAACACATTAGTTCTGAGGAATGGCAATGCCAGTGACGTTTCAAGATTAATATTTTAATTCACTGTCAGGGCATTTTTTTAATAAATTAGAAATACAGATATAAAGATAAGAATACATACAGTTACTATAATTTTGAAAATTGTACTAACTCTATCGTTGTTTCACTTTTGTAAACTTCAGTATGAACGCTCTTAACTTCGCAGGCTAAATGCCTAAATTTAAAATCAAGCAATTATATCCAGTGTTCACCGTATGGTCCCGACAAAGAATGGACCACCGGTTCCTTTCCTGTGAATGTTGTAAAAGCTTAATAGACGAGGGATGGACAGCAGCATCCCTCTTAAAATATCGTCAAAGACTAACTGTGGTGATGAACCTGTCTGCCAATTGTGACAACTACTGGCAAAACTCCCCAATATAGGGAGTTCTATATTCAGCAATGAAGTTGACGGCTGATATGGCATGGTATCGTAATTATATTAAGAACTTATCATTACTATTTGATAAATAAATATAATTTATAAGATCCTGCTAATATTTATAAATGTGAAAATAAAATAAAAAATTAGAATATTTATAAATCTATAACACCTTGAACAAACTTGAATAAAATTGGATGTATAAACAAACCGTCACATAATACAGTTAATTTATGTTATTTTGGTTGTTGTGCTACTAGTTAATTACGAATAGGTTTAATCCTAGTTTTAAATCTAATTAGTGAAATCGGACAATAATCAAATTTATTATTATGAAAAATGCAGAAAATATTACCTAAATGAAACAGATTGGAGCGAAATAAAAAAGTTTGCCGTAAAAATTTCAAAGACCTTTCATGCTTTCAAGATTTCAATTGGTATTACCTGTAGCACATACTTTACGGTTTAATAAAGAGATTCCCGTGTCGACGATAAATCACATGGTTCCCACTTTCAATGCGATAACACAATTTCTAGCTAGATTTTTAAAAATAAATGAGAGAATCTAAATCTGAAACATTTATGACCAAGTTTTTAATCAACATCATGGTTACTGGAGCCATTCAGTGTTTGTTAAGCCAACCCATATTCGATACCACCAAAATTATTAATGAATTAATAAATTAACAATTGTTTCAGCCCAGCTTTGTACGGGTAGACAGAATTTTTAAAAATACCGTTCTATTATCATTCATAAAAAAGACTGCGTGCGTGTGTGCGTGCGTGCGTGCGTGCGTGCATGCATGTGTATGTGCGTATACGTATATCATTATATACTCTCTATATGTGTACAAGAAAAATATGCGAGGCTATTAAAATTATGATTATAAAACTTAGAACCCCATTATCCTTTTAACTAGTGTAGTCCCGTAGATCTGTCCACATAATGTCCGAGGCTACGCAATATTTTAGTCTAAAATATGAATCCAAATCGTATACATACATACATACATATCTGTCACGCCTGTCTCCCATTAGGGTAAGCAGAAACAATGGAACGCCAAATGCTTCGATTCAAACAAATCGTATAATATAAACATTATCTATACCAATATTATAAAGAGGATATATTTCATTGTTTGTTTGTTTATTCTTTTTATATAAACTTAAAAGTTACTCGACCGATTTTAAAAATTCTTACATCCATAGAAAGCACATTATCAGCTACATATTATTTTAAAAAATTCTGTCTACCCATAAAAAGCCCGATTGGATCGCTAGATGAGTAATAAATATCCAAAAATTTTGACAAAAATGTACACAATTCATTATTCAACATTTATATTTGTATATTGGTTAAACAAAATATAATAGTAATTGGTTAAAACAAACTTCAAAATATTTGAATATAGGTTACTCAATCACGCTTTGATTCGGCAAGCTATCGAGTATGAACAAAATCCACATTTCATGGAAATTATTAATATTCATCTACATTCATAATTTCTAAGAAACTTGGGTTTCGAACCGACTTCAAAAAAGATGTTCTTAATTCTGCTGTTCTTTTTTATGTTTGTTGCCTCATAACTCCATCTATTGTAAACCGAATTGGAAAATTCTTTCTTTATTCGAAAGGATATATACTAACAGATTCGTTTCTAAGAAATTTTAATAAATTTAACTGAATACTTACCATTTCATTGCTTCTATATCCAATTTTTCAATATTGTAGACATATTCGGTTTTCAAAAAAGGCAATTTTAATACTTAAATTCTCATTTATCAACCATTGAAAACTCATTGATTTTAATATTTTTTAACTATGGAAATCAATGAGTGCTAACGGTATAGAATGGCAGAGAAAATGAAATCAGGACAATTATCTTATCTTTGAGAATTCACTAGCAATTGACCACAGTGATTTCCAGGGGGACTGCATGGAGGTCGACCTGATAGAGTATATTGCTAGCAATGGATACTACTCTCACTATTACTAACAACCCCCTTCCCCTTCTAAGTATTAGGGTTGTTTCTATTCTTTTTACATACAAATTAAAGGCAGATAACATACAAAACAATTCTTGTGTATTTTTTTAATACCAATAACAACTTACAAATTTTACATAATATTCTAATGTAAAATAACAACACCCAACACCGTTTGTACTTTTGTACATTTATAACACCTATATCTAATGATAATGGTTTTAGTTCTAGGCATTTTGAATTATAATCAAGAACTAGGCTTACATTTGATTAACAAATTAGAACATTCCATTCGAATACTGTATAAAGTGTAGGTCTAAAAAATGCTCCGTCTTTTTTTGTTGCAGTATAAGTAATAATACTACTACAGTATAAGGAACAACTAGTTATCTAACTGCCATGTGATCCCGGCATAGAATAGGCCACCCCTTCCTTTCCCATGGGTGTCGTAAGAATCAACTAAGGGAGGGCGAGGGATGGGCAACAGCGTCCCTGTTAAACATCTTTGAATCCTGACTGACCAATCCACCTGCCAAGCTTGACAACTACTGGCAAAACCCCCCAAAGGGGAAGCTTATGTTCAGCAGTGGACAGTTAAAGGCTGATATGATGAGTTGTCCAACACCGGGGCGCAATTATCTAGACGTGTAAGTTGTACAACTGATAAGGAAATGTTCTCTAGACTGTGATACTTACTATTCCATACAATCTGTCCACAAACTGCGTCTTATCGAACTAAACTTAACTCTGGCAAAAATATAATTATTTGAAAAAAGAACGCATCGCATTCAACAAATACACACACATTTACGTGTGTACAAAGTTCATCTGTTTATACAGTAGTGCCGACTACGGATTACAGAATTTTTTGTCAGTGGTCGATCATAAATCATGAAATGAATGACAGTTTTTAAGCGTAATATCTTTAATTATTGTAAAAATGTTCGAGATATATTTTTACTTAGTCCCTACATTATTTCGAAAATCATTATTATAACACTTGAGTTTTTCGTAATCATTTTATGTACTAATTTCACAATGTGTTTAGATAAGGTGGGTAGATGGTGGCATGGGGGACACTCAAGAGAAGTGTCTTTATAGTAATTTTAAAGTTCATATTTGCATAAAATTAGAACATATTTAGCCATTTGTACATTCCGAAGAACCACAGAACGTATATAATAATTCTGTGTCATAAAGAAAGAAATGTAGAATTACTTAAAGATTTTATGAATGTTACAGTGTTACCATCACATAGATTGTCGTAATTGTTTTTATTTTTAATTTGTTGACTAAAAAACAACTTAATAAATAAAAAATCAACAAATATTTATTTATAGTAACGTCTCTAACCCCAGATCTATATATACTCAGAGACTCCACTGTGAGAAATTTCGTGGTATTCTGCCTGTCTATGTTTATTATTTATTTTTTTCATCTCTGCAATATTTTCACTGTAATTTAGTAATATTTTCTGATTTTCTTTTTTCAAATCAACTGACATATAATTTAATTACACAGGCCTAATAAGAAATCGCTTCTCGAAATCTTAGCTTGTAAAAACTGTCTCTTAGAACTAAATGCGTTTGTTATTTAAATGATTGGGTTTGATCTATATCTGTCGTATAGGAATCTTCTGTACGATCGCTTTCCTCTTAATGTCCTCTTATCTCTCGGTGGAGACATTCTACTTTGCGGTGGATGTTGCCAATCTGGACATCTGAAAAATAAAAAATATATTTGACTGGTAAAGAAAGCTATTGGTTAGTCCACCTTATGTACCATATTTTCTTTTGATTAATGAAATTATTTAAATAAATAAATAAATATTTTTATAAGTAATTATGTAGTACTGAAGTGTAACTTAGAATGATAAACAAGCTGACGGCCCACCTGATGGAAAGTGGTAACCGTCGCCTATAGACATGAGCAATACCATGGACATAACAGAGTATACTGTTTCGCTCATGATACCCCCCATGTGTTGCCATTCCAGAGGACTCAGGTGTTATTCCTCTGTACCCTGTAAATTCACGCCATATCCCACCCTTCAAATTGAAACACAGCCATGCAAACACAACTACTTACGGTTGAAACACGAATGGAACAGAGGTACCCAACCAACGACTTTTGTACAAAGTCTTCCTCTGGTTACCTAACGTTAATGTAAAATTGCATTACTAGAGACTTTACCCGTGCATTGTCAGTCATTTTAAAATCTTTAATCTGTCTCCAATCATAGTAACCAGTAATTTTACTGTCAATACATTCAAACTTTATAAATATTTGTTTACGTAAAACCTTAGTCCTCTGGAATGACAATGAATAAATGTTAACATAGGCATCGCAGTATACTCGTACTCGCTTTGACGTTCATGGTACTGTTTATAGTTAGCCATCAGCTTATTTACCATTTCAAATTACAAACCATTTATTTATTTATTTATTTATTCATCAGTACAAATATGTGTACATGGCGGACTTAATGCTAAAAGCATTCTCCCCCAGTCAACCATAGGGAAGTGTCAGAATAATCGAATGCGGTACTACTAATTATTGATATACATACATACTAAAATTACATATATAAACGAATAAATATATATAAATAACAAATATACTTACACATATATGATATATACTATATTATACACGAATACAAACCATTCGTTAAATAAATATATTAACAAAAATAAAAAAAAACAATAGTATTGAATTTTAATTTTCTTAAACCAGTACATTTTCCTTATGAGTGTTTACTGAAATAATAAAATGGGGGTTTTACGTGTTATTATAAAACCCAGTCGAGTATCTACTTAACTTGCATACAAAGGATACAAAATGTACATGCATTATAAACATAATCTCGAGGAAAAAAATCTTGTATTGAATGGCGGGCGCGCAATAAAACACGTTAAAATCAAAAGGAAACGCGTCATAAAATGAAACCGTAAAAGAAATAAGTACACGTTGAATATTTTTATTAGTTACTAGCTATATTCCGCGGCTTTGCTCGTGTCATTATAATTTTTCAACCGACTTCAAATAGGACGTGATTCTAAATTCGGTTACATTTTTTTATTTTTGTTACCTCATAGCTCCGTCAGTTGTGAACCGATGTGGAAAAATCTTTTTTATATGAAAGGATATAATTACAGATAGGTCCAATAGAAATTTCATCAAAATCGGTTTAGTAATTTAGTTTTTAAATCAAAATAACTGCTTTTACCACAATTGATGACGGTTTTTTGTTGATCACATTCTTAATTATTATGCAATCTGAAAAGGTAAACACAATGTCGGCACACCTGATGCAAATGATAACCGTTATCTGTAGATATCAACAATATAGTAAGAATCCTAAAATACGCTATGGCACTCATGGATTCCATTACTAAAGACTAAAGCGTTATACCTACGCACCCTGTAGTTTCACTACCATATCCACCCTTCTTTTTATTGTCGAAACATCGTAAAGAAAAACTCAGACTCAAACCGTCAAAGAAATTGCCCAATAATGGAACAAGTTATTCTTTAATTGATTATTTATATTTGGAACATTATTGTTAGATGCAACAAACGGTCATACATGCAAACAACTGAAAAAATTTTATCACTTCTTTAACAGTCAACTAATAAATATTTAAATTCACTTCATACTATGCTATTTTGTAAGCTTTAGTGTAGTTCATATATACACAATTGGTATATATAATATTTTATACGAGTACATTGCTTGGAGGCATCAGATAGTTTTTTATGCAACTTAGAATAACAAACAAGATGCCGGCCCACCTAATGGAAACTGGTAACCGTCGCCTATAGACATGAGCAGTACCGTGGATATAACAGAGTATACTGTTTCGCCCACGATCTCTCCCATGTGTTGCCATCCCTGAGGACTCAGGTGTTATTCCTCCTTGCCCTGTAAATTTACTGTCATATCCTTCAAACCGAAACACAGCCATGCAAATACAACTGCCTCACGGTAGAATTAGAATGGGACAGAGATGCCCAAGCAAACAACTTTTGTACAAAGGTATTCTATATATTACATAGAGTACTTGAATTATACAGATTATCAATCGCAATATCAATAACATATACAAATATCACAAAAGGGATAGTAAACGCTTTTCTGCGGTCATAATACCAATCGCATATACCAATAGCATAAAAGGAATATTTAACAGTTTTCTGTAAAACCACTTACTTCTCGATATCAGGTAAGGTATGTCCCTTACATCTGGCTTCCCACTTGGACCAGTACTTGAAGCCTTCTTGCTCAAATACTTTTAACGCGCATTCACCATCATCTTTTATGTCTTCATCTAAAAGAGCTGAAAAAAGTATTTTTTATTAATTTCATCACAAATTACATTCATGAGAACGAGCTTGTTGCCAACCCTTACTATTTGGGAGGAAGAGACTGTTAGTAATGAGGTCTTAGCAATATCCTAGACCCTGTCAGGTCGAACTCCACATGGTTTCCCTGGAAACCATCATGGTTAATTCTTATGGAGTTCATCACCATGGGCTAACTGATCTGCTTTCAAACTCGCCTATCATCTATCACTGGTGCCCCGTCAGCATATACCGATAGCGTAGACCGGGTTACCATTCCATTATCATCCATAAAAAAACCCTTTCTAGTTGCCAGTTGTTGAACAAATCAGTGTATCTTTCTTCTTCAAGTGCAATACTTTTTTTTTTCAATATGATGAAAAAGTAATGTATAGTCAGTTACGGTCGGTGAATGATAGTTTATCGTTATCATTAACTGTGTACTGGTAAACATGGCCTCCCCTTTGGGAGACCATGTTCATCAGTGGAGGAGAGAATTGTTAACAAAAGAGACTGCATTACTAGCGGTATACTCTGTTAAGTCGACCTCTATGTGGTCCCCCTTGGAAACCGAGGGAGGAAGGTGGTTAGTAATGGGAACTCCAGTCCCCACTGCTAACAATATACCTTACTAGAGCATACAGTTCCATCAAAATATATACTTTCATATTGGTGTCATGAAAATTTTATCAAAATCGATTCAATAGTTTAATTTTTAAATCAACATATAATAAATTAACTAGTTTTGTTACAATTAAAAAACACTGACGTTATTGTTGTGAAACAAATATGAAGGAAACACATGAGAGATCCTAATAAGAACGACAAAAGACAAAACAATATTTTTTCCAAAAATTTGTCCATTTATACAGTTGTGTTCCTGAAGGTCTAACTAAAAAAGTAATGTATATTTTATCTTGAAGTAATCTATTTTATTAGTTTTCCTACATCTGAAATAGCACGCATACGAATAATAATAAAATTCTATTTATAAAATAAAAATTAATTATATTGAAAGGTCGACTTCATTTAAAACTTTAATATTGTTACTTTATTACTATAAATATTAATAAAATTGTTTTGTTTACGTAAATGTTTGTAACTTTTTGTAAAAATAATAATTCCATTTTCGTTTTATATTACAATAAAAATTACATTTTTATACCTAACTTATTATTTTTATTTTTATTGTTGTTTATCATTAAGAGAATTCTAATTTAAAGCTTATGTTGGTTTATAAAGAATCCTATAACAGAAAAAATGACATTTCCTTGTTTTTTTGTCAATATGAATTTTTTTAGTACATATATTATAACTATCTATGGTACACTCGTATTACGCGGCATTGCCCACATGAAGTAAAAAATAATAATAATCTAACTCTAATTTAATGATTTTTTCAAATCCATTCAGACATTGCAGCACAGTTGTGGTCACGGGTTCAACCCGGCACAATGTAAATATTTATATTCATTAGTATATCTATTTGTATTAATCGGGGTATTTTCAATGCATAATATTATAAAAAATAAATGAAAACCAATGGCACTCCGTGATTGACGACAGAAGTGAAAACTTGAACAGTTACGTGTGTGTGTTTTTAAATCGTCAGAGATGTCGATTAAACAAATTTTCACTTCAAAAAATATTCAAATATGTCTATTAGTTATCTAACACCCCATCAGGTACAAACCCCTTTTAATTTGGGCCTTGATGACGCTGCGTAATATATGTATAAAAAGACAAAAAAAAAACATGGAAAAACTAAACTAAGAACTAGTTGTGAAACATTCCAAAAACAATTAAGAAATTAAATTTAAGAGTAACCTTTTTTTAAAAAAAAAACCTTTTTCTTAAATATTTCTTTCATTAAAATATAATTACACTTAAAAATAACATATTATTGTATATAAATAGAATGAACTATTGCTATTTAAAAAAAACCCTAATAACAAAATAGACACGTAATCCTACCGTAAAGGGCATTGACAACAAAACAATATGAATGAAAAAGTTTAAGGAAAATGGTGCTAAATCAATCGGACGTAACTGGAGCCGAATTCATCAACATCATATATTAACATACAATACACGCTCGGCAACTACGCAGCGTTTCGCCCTTGAACTATGACACTCGGTTACCGTCAATTAAAATAGGTACACACTAGTTTATAAGTAATAGCCCCCTAAACAATCATCTATTTAAAAAAACAGGCCTTCGTTATAAAAAAAAGTTTATATGAAAACTATGCAACTACTTCAAAAGTAATCGTAATTTGAAAATGTTGTTCTATAAAGTAACGGTTAAACAAGTATTTTATGACATCTCTCGTTATCGATATTTTAAATAGAGATATAATAGTTCTTACCACAAAAAAAAAATAAAACACTACCTATCTAAACAGCGTTTAACGAAACGTATATATATATATATATATATATATATATATATATATATATATATATATATATATATATATATATATATATATATATATATATATATATATATGGTGCTGCTTATGGGGACTGGTCTACTCATAATTGCTTGTTTATTTCACATTGAATAATACAATATATATATATATATATATATATATATATATATATATATATATATATATATATATATATATATATATATATATAATGCTAATTATAGTCACAGTACCCATACAAATGTATAATTATCATGTACGCAAATAAATTGAAAATAGTAACTGGAGTTTCTTGCGAGTTCAGTAGATAACAACATTCCGAACCTAATAGTAGAATCATAAAAAAATACGATTTAAAAGAGCTTGTAAACAAGCCATTTGAATAAAGATTTTTTATAATAATAATAGAAGATTGTTTCTAATAATATAATAATATTCTTTTGTATTTTTTGTGGCAAAATTTATAATATAATATAATAAAATTAATAACTTTGAGTACTTTTTGTTTTTAAAACAGACTTTCTTTGGTTTAAACAAAAACAAACAAATCCGGTGTTGTAGTAAAATGTCAAAATATGTATTGAAACCTATCTATCGAACTTAACTTTTTTATAGTAAATCCGAATATGTATGTTATTTATAACTATTTGAATAAATATTCATTAATTGTATTGCCTTGATATTTCTAGATAGTTGCATAAATTCATTTCCTTGTTCGCCAATAGTGGGTCAATACCTAAAAGTTATAAATAAATAAATATTACAATAAAATACATTTAACAAAATATCTGTCTTCTTGTAAAATTTGTTACAAAGTCGAAAAGAACTTTATACACGTTATAGTGTGAAACAAGCCAACGATACCTAATGAAAAGTGGTAACCGACATTTATAGATATGAACAATACCATTGACATCATAGTGTGACGCCCATGATACTTATATATTCCCGTCCCTGGGAATTAAGGAAAAATAGACTGACATAATGTTAAAACAGTTCAGCACTAATGAACACATTAATATAAAAACCATCGCTTTTATATTCATTTATTGTTGTTGTTTGCCTGTCAATGTGTTTGGCGAGTAGAGAATGTTACTCGCATGTGTTCGACAGTGAGAGCTACGATACGATCAATCAATATGATCTTTCAAATCTGACAACAAAAACTTAATTGATAATAAATCAATATATACGAAATGAAATTAAAATCGCTATGAACTTTTTAAGAAGAAATTCTACCAAAATGGGCAAATGAGCAATGGACAAATGAAGTGGCAGTGGGCTGGCCTAATATGAACTGCACCATGGACAGCAAAGGGAGTATACTGTAACGCCCATGATATCCCCTCATGCGTTGCCATCCCTGAGGACTAAGGTTTAATATCTCCGTATACTATAATATATCTCACCCTTCAAACGCAAACACTGCTACAGAAACATAGCTACTTCATGGCACAAACTCGAGTAGGACAGAGATACCCAAGCAGACGACTTTAGTACAAAGTCTCTCTCTAGTAGTGTAATTAAATTTTGTTCTACAAAAAATCGACTTCAATTGTGGCAAAACCAAATTGTTCTGAACCGATTTTGATAAAATTTCTAAATACAGATTGGTAAGTAAATCCTTTCAGTTAAAAAAATATCTAAATTGGTTTACTACTGACAGAATTATGAGATAGCAAACATAAAAAAGTACCATTCTTTATGGCAGTCTATGGAGAAGACTTATGTCTATCTGTGGACGGATAATGGCTGAAATGATGATGATGAAACATAAAAAAAATACAACCGAAGTGAAAATCTCCTTTTTTTGAAGTTGGTTTATAAACATAAAGTACAAACCAAAATCCGTAGTTTAATCCGTATACACGGATTTGAATGTTTAAAGAGGTGTAGGCAGATTATCGTGGGCGCACTCACCTTCGCACGATATGTCGCATTTGCCACCTTTCCGACCTTCCTTGCACCACTCACTTCCTATCTGAAATAAACAGAACATTTAAACAATTAATATATGTACTTAACACACACAAATATAAACTAATATTAAAAACCGGATTCATTTTATTTTTGTTAATAAATAACCGATTATAAAATTATTTAGCCTACAGAAAGCTGTATTTTTTTATGGGTGATAATGGAATAATAACTCCACTTGCGGTAACAGTATACGTTGGCGGATACCAGTGAGGGATGATGATAGGTGAGGATGAAACAGGTCAATTGGCCCATAATTAAAAATATTTAAAGAATTAATCAAGATGGTTTCGAGGAGGAACCGCGTGGTAGCGACCAAATAGGATTGTTATTATTAGTAATGGGTCTAACAGGGTTCTTAGATCCCATTACTAATAACATTATAAGCAATGCGGACTTTTTTTTAATGGGTGATAATTAGAATTCATCTATTTGGAATAAAATGGAATAGTAATCCCACCTGCACAATGTATAATTGATACAAGTTGGCTAGGTACCAGTGAGAGATGATAGGATATATAATAGGTGGGAATGAAATAGGTCAGTTAACCCATAGTAATAAGTTCATAAAGAATTAACCAACATGATTTCCAGGGGGAACCACGTGGTGGTCGACCTGATAGGATATATGGCTAGCAATAATGAAACTCATTGATTTTTTTATATGTAATATCTAAAAATGGATAATGTGGATACCGATCCGATATCTATATACTGGGTTCCTCTGGACATCCCTTTTTTCCCATCATCGATCTCCAAAAAAAATCGATATATACAAAAAATATTGGAGCTGTATTGATATTACGCATACCTAGCAAAAACACAATAGCACGCAAACACGCATAGTGTAAGGAAAATAATTCTTTGGACCGTGATAATAGTATGAGTAAAGTCATTAACCTCTTGACTACTTGCATAATTGAATGCGATACACGACCTTGATGGGCCAACAGTAATCACACTGCCTCACCTTCCGATAATTATGGATTTGAAACATTATTGTCATTATTTACAATATTAGTAAAATTGTTCTACAGTGTATATCAACAGAATTTATATATGTATGTATAAATTAAGTTAATAATAGATTGAAACATTCAATCAATTTTACTGAACTAGTTGTTATCTTGCAGAAGTATATGTCACTATAATTTTAATCGATTAGATTAAAATTTTGTTTAATTCTGCTACCATTAGTATGTGTCTGATTGTCAACATTCGAAAATTGAATGGTTGTATGATTGAAGATAGTGATAATGATAGTCTCGCACATACTAATGGTAGAAATTAAAATAGGTAGGAATTAAACAAAATATTTCCATTCAAATATTTCATGAATAGCTCTCGGGATAGAATAAGCCACCCCTTTCTTTCACGTGGGTGTCGTGTCGTAAGGGGCGACTAAAGAAGAGCGAGGGATAGGCAGCAGCATCCTTCTTAAAACATCATCAAAAGTAAAAGTGCGGTTGCCAACTCGCCTGCCAAGAGTGGCAACTACTGCCAAAACTTCCCTCCTGTGGAAGTTCAGCAGTGGACAGTCAACGGCTAATATGATGATGATAATAAAACTCGTGATAGTTTATATGAGTCGATTAAGTATAGTCTGTTTCAACAGAGGGGTTTTGTCAATAGCTGCCACACTTGGCAAGCGGATTGGCAACCGCAGTTAAGCTTTAGAAATGTTTTAAGAGGGACGCTGCTGCCCATCCCTCGCTCTCCCTTAATGGCCTCTTACGACACCTACGGGGAAGTAAGGGATGGCCTATTCTATGCTAAGACCACGCGGCCTCCACGAGTTTTATCATATGAAAACCATAATCAAAAACGTCATATGAAAAACGTATATTTATTTACCTGAAAAAGTCCATAATATTTTCTTCTCGGTGATTTAACAACAAATGCTGATGTGTTTCTGTCACTCTGCTGCTCGATTAGACACACCCCTGTAATAAACGTAATGATATCTTCAATTTAACGCTTATGATGTGATATGACTCTCACAAATATTCGTCATTTTAATAAATACGACAAAAAATACCTAAATACAATTTGTACAACAAACTGTGTTCAGAGAAATTGTTCAGTATGATGCCCACGGCCACCTTTTATCATCGTACAGCTCGCCATCAACAAAGAGTTCACCGCCATATCTTTGAGCCTAGATAGTTACGTATAATTGGTTTCAGAGATATTTCCTCCCAGGAATGCTCAGATTATGGAAATAGCTCCCTGTCGAGGATTTTACAAAAGACTACAGAATGGAGTTCTTCAAAAAAGGGATAAAGAGGTTTCTTCAAGGTTGGCAACGCGCGCGTTATTGCAGGCGTTCATAGGCTACGGTAATCGCTTACCATCAGGTAGGCCGTATACTTGTTTGCCAACTCAGTTGTATAAAAAAAAATTGTTTTTAACATGACAGAATTAAAATACTCTGCCCTACGTCGCACTATCTTGATTTATTTTTTATGTTATTTTTTTACATATTTAAATGATATAGATACCTACTTTTAAGACCTATATATACTTAGGTAACATAGATTAGATAACTTTATAAATAACAATTTAATACTAAGAGTGTGCGCGGTATGAACATTTTACTTTATCCGTTTCTTTTTGGCTTCAATGTCTACTTTGCCAGCGCATAGTCTGTACTTAAAATTCAGTTATATATTTCCCATCTATTACAGAACCCAAGATAGGATACACCTTCGTTTAAAACAAAATTAATTCATTCAAAATCTCGTTGAATCGAGCTGACGGGAGATTCTTTTTTTCTATTTGCTGTACTTATTGGAAAATTATCAAATACAGGACAAGTGATTAAAGAAAATATTTTAATGCATCAAAGTTTGACGTTAAAAACATTTTAATATTAAAATCTGATTTATATTTATTCTTTCATTCTACATAGGTATGTAGGTACTCAGATAAGTACCAAATTAGGACCAAAACTTTGACGCAACTTGTTGCCTAGAATCGTCTCAATAAATGGGATATCGTTAGACGTGACTTAATTGCGAGTGTTATGGGCTACATGATACAATAATACAAACAAAAACAGCGGCCATTAAAGTGATATATTCTTTCGTAAATTATTTGACTTTGGTATTTGTTTTACATGTCTTTTAGTGACATCAAAATATTAAAGAGCTCAAGTAAAAGTAACGAATCAGTTGTTTTTCATTTTAGAATTAGTTCCAGTCCTGATTCGTCTACTTTTTTAATCTTAATCAGTATCTTCAATTATTTTGTTTTATATGCCATACAGAAAAAAATATAATATAAAAATATAAAAGTTTATATTTATGTCAACTGTACTAGTCTTAATCTCATATTAATTTGGGGCAATTGAAGGTACTATTTTTTACGGAGCAAAATCCTATTTATTGAGAAGTTCTAAATTTAAATTTTCAAAACCTATTATAACGTATCACATCGTGCATTGATTGATCGTGGTATTTTTATTCGCTTTATTTATTTTAAAATTTAAAATAAGAACAATTTTAAATAACAACAAAGTTGCTAGTCAATTAATGTTGTCACGAATGATACCACTTTTTTGTAAAACAAAATGTACTTGTTTAAATTAATAACAGAAGTAATCTACCTATTAGGTTGTTGAGTATATATGTTGCTAAAAAATAACCTTGAATGAGACTTAAACCCATACCTCACGACTGCCAATAAAATGATATACTTATTATTGTATCACTGTGAATTAAAGAGCGTTTATTGCACAAAAAATTTATCAGGTGATTTATATCATACTATATAATCTTGTATATATATATATATATATATATATATATATATATATATATATATATATATATATACATATATATATGTATGTATGTATATATATATATATACATATATATATGTTAATGTAATAAATGTATATATATATATACTTATATATATATATATATATATATACACATATGTATGTATGTATGTATATATGTCACTTGATTTTTACCTACTACTATTATTGATTACAAAATTTTCACTATTCTGGTTTTGTCACAATTAAAATCGGTTTTTATGAGGCCTAATCTTTGATAAAGTGTTAAAATAATAAATATCTATTTAACTTATACTATTTACTTAGATTATATAGATAGTCTCCATACAAACGCTTCAGCTAATTTGACAATTAGCTGACAAAAAATTTAACCTGTTTTTGAGACTCGACGCTCTATCTATATAACCTAAACTATCTATCTATGTATGTAAAAGGATTCAGAAAGTCCTCTTTTTTGAAGTGGCTTCAAAATATTCTTATAGCCCTAATCCAATCCTTACTAATATTATAAATGTGAAAGTTGATTTGTTTATTTGTTTACAGCAACAGCTTAATCCATGACTGTTAAACTTGGTATACATATAGATACTATATAGAATAGAAAAAGATACATGCTACTTTTATCCCAGTCAATAAACATATCCCGACTACACGAATGAAGTCGCGGGTGAAAGATAGTATAACATATTTTTCTGTACTACACAAAGGTACGTTATCTTAATATCAACTAAAGTTATCAACTAAATCAAACGGAACTGCGTCAACGAAATAACTTCGTGTCACTTGTATTGTGTAAATATGCCTAAATTAAAATAAACACATACGTTTATTCACAAATAGCAATGTTTCAACATTGAAGTGAAAAACATTTTATATAATACTATAAATTTATAAGTACTAAGTAGTTATGCTGGGGGAAGGGATTGTTAGTAACGCGGACTACCAGTTCCATTGCTAGCACTATACCCTGTCAGGTCGACCTCCCCGGGGTCCCCCTGGAAACCATTGTGCTGAATCCCACCTGCTAATTCACCTGCCTTTTCATTCTCGCCTATCATCCCTCACTGTCGTACTAGTGTGTACCGTTAGCGCAGACGGGGTACCATCTTTTGAGACCATATCGGCTGAACATAATTAAATTGTGTTCCAGAAATAAAAAAAATCGACTTCAGTTGTGACATTACAAATTTATTTTGATTTAAAAATGAAACTATTGAATCGATTTTGATAAAATTTCTATAGGATCAATCTGTATATGCATGTAAGTGCAATGTATATGCAAGTATATGCATTAAAATAAAAAAGTATTTTCTATTTTTCGGTTTACAACTGATAGAGTTATGAGGTAACAAACATATTCATAGGCGACGGTTACCACCCTCCATCAGGTAGGTCATCAGCTTGTTTGCCATTCAACAAGTTACATTTAAAAATAAAAGAAAAGTATTACCAAATTGAGACCCTCCTTCTTTTGACATCGTTTACAAATATCATGCATTATCATGAACTTTGGTATACACTTATTATGTAAAATGAAGAATAACATAGGTAAATTTAATCAACATAACCCGGTCACACAGACAAAGTCACGGTCATCAAAATTTAATAAATAAAAATTAAAAATTTCTTTTCTTGAGGCACACAAGCAAAACCGCGAGTTACAACTAATGAAATATAAGTAAGTATACCTAGATATGTAAACGACAAAAAATACATTATTTTTTGTTATAATTAAAATTGACCTATCTTATCGAACCCGGAACACAAAAGTAACAGCAATCGATTACATAACTAGGTGTATTTACAACGACTTGCGCATGCGCATTAAATTAACGATTTTGCACATATAACTAACTAGCCTATGTTACTGGCTGATAATGTGTCTATGCTTTCTATAAGTGAAAGAATTTTTGAAACCCTTTACGTGCTAGTATATTTTAAGCTTATCTGTTGCAAGGGTAGCTGATTTAGCTAGACTTAAGGTCTACTATTTACTGACGAAACCCTGTACGAACTACCAATTACATACTTCTTGAAATCTCAAATGAAATAACATAGTTCAGTGCAGTTGTTAAGAGGAAAAACATAAAACTTAACTTTCTTGTTAGTAACTACTTATTAATATTAGTGTGAGCATTGCGTCTGAGCATCTTTCGCTAGATTAGCAAAATATTATATTTTTTGGCTTGCCACGATCGACTGGACTAATAGTCGCGATTGAATGTTTGGCCGCGCCTGATATATTACAATACAAAAAAACATGAAATCTTTCTTCTTTATAATATTAGTTTAGATAGATCATTTAACATTTCAATAACTTATTACTTACTAAAATTAAGTTAAAAATGGTGATATGTTGGACGTTTCAATTTATTATTTCACCTTGTTTGTGTATGTATACACCTGTATCTTTGTAGAAATATGAATGTATAATTACGAAAGATAAAAATTATAAGATATTGATAATATTGCCATTATTCATAAGTAATTTTATTTAATTTGCATCAAAAATATATTTCGACAAATCTTTTTCAATATATACTCGTAATTTAAATAATACGTAAATTATTTTTCCATAAAGAGAGTTTAGCCAGTAATTGCGACTTTTGGCAGGTGGATTGGCAACCGCTGTTAAGCTTTGGTGATATTTTAAAAGGGACCCTGCTGCCCATCCTACGACAATTAAATTCCCTTAGTCGCCTCTTACGACACCCACGGAAAAGGAAAGGGTGGCCCATTCTATGACAGGACCGCAAGGCGTAGTTTTTAAGAAGTATCTGCAGCAAGTACCTACTTAGGTATATTATTTTTAATAAAATTCGACCTTAGACATTTGTCTGATATGAATGAGAACTTGTATTACCTGTTTACTTCTCAATAATTGACTGATAATTATATTCTATTTGTTTGTTTGTTTTGTTAAATTTTGACACTGGTGAGAAATGATAACAACTAATACTGAACACTTGTAACACGGTGTAGTACGGTATACGCGGGGGGAGAAGGATTGTTAATAATGGGGACGCTAATCCCCATTGTTAGCAATATACCCTATCAGGTCAACCTCGACGTGGTTTCTCCTGGAAACCATCGAGATTAATTATCGTCAAATTTGTCGTGACTGACTTAATTTCATCCTCACCTATCATCTCTCACTGGTGTCCGGCCAGTATACACTGATAGCGCAGACAGGGCTACCATTCCACTATCATCCATAAAAAAAAATAATGTATACGCAGGAATATGACAATTAAAAAAAAATGTAGACACGTTTATGTATGAGTTATTTATGACTTACGAAAACAACTGACATTTATTGTATCTTCTAGAAAGGTACATGAGAATAGTGGAATGAAAAAATATTTTTATTATTCATTTTTCGGCAGTAAGTCTGACCTTTTTAATGCTTACATAAAGTCAACATGAAATTATATATTCATTGCTTGTGCATAACTAATTATGATTTGTCTCATACAATTATTCATAACTACCCATAACCCATCCACATTACATTATAACATGAGTTGGAAGTTCCCAACACATTTATTATAGGAAAAACCGTTCATAAAGTGCGCGTAGACAATCAGCCTAATCCACAACAATAGGTTATCGAAACAATAAATTATGCACACTCACAATTGCTAAGAAACGTCCTTGGGTAATTATTTTTCAGCAGTTCACGGGTCAGTTGACACCTAGTAAATACTTTGCTACGTACAAGCGCGCACGACAGCGCCAAAATTAAAACGTAACACGCAAGACGTCCGTTAGCCATGACGTATCAACACTGACTGACAATAATCGGCTTTCGTGTTTTTAAATTACAATGCCCGTGCGCATCTCATGACATTTAATTAGGTATCGGATTTCTGGAAATCCACTAATTGTACAATCAGTTTCGTTTAAATAATTAATATTTTATTTTTATCAATATTTAAGCTGTTAAAGCAAATTTAAACAAGTAGATATCCAAAACGCTCTAAATTGAGGTACATTGAAAAAGCGTTTATACCTGAATCTAGCAACGTCTATGTTATTTGTCATTTATCAATACTTCTAAATTTAATGAAAAAGTGAAATGAAATGAAATCTTATTGCATGTAATTTATAATAAAAATTTTGATGATAACAAAGTATTTGGGAATTCAAAAGTAATAGTTGCAAAATTATTAACGGTAGATTTATATACGAATTGTTCCATTTAACCTTTTTGTTTATAATTATTAAAAAATGTTCAATTTTAATATTTCAAAGGGAGGAACTTCTCTTTTAATGCGGAGAGACTCATGCTCAATAGTTACGTTAATATTTTTTCATGTATGGGTTTTTTTATTATTTACTTATTACCTATAATATTAAATAATATCTTTTATTATTTATAATAGTTCTCTCTCTCTCTCTCTCTCTCTCTCTCTCTCTCTCTCTCTCTCTACAGCTCCTCTTTTTTTCTTTCTAGCTCGTCTAATGAACGTGTAAGAAAAAGTGCACAAACAACTCTAATCTTTGAAACTCAGTTCTTCATGTCTACTCCAAAAAGTACCTTACATGAAGACAAATATATCTTTGAAATAAAATAATTTCTTTTCTAACCTTAGCAAACCAATACAATTAATAATACTCAGAGAGGGGCAGATCTGATTATTAGTAATGAGGGTATAAGACCTCATTTCCACCAATGTACCCTGTCAGATCGACCTGAAAGCCATCGTAATTAGTTTCTAGTGAATTCGCCATGATGAGCCAACTGGCCTGATGTCATCTTCATTTCATCCTTCACTAGTACTATGCCATTGTATACTATTACTATTACAATAAACGGGTGCATTATCCTAAATGTGTTCATTAAAAAAAAATTCAAATCGCCACGGGAAGAGGAGATTATATCTTACCATATCAACCTCCACGCAGTCTCCTCTGAAAACCATATTTTCACTCCGACGTACCAACTAATTTTAATTGATTTTTCAACCAATGTCAAAAAGAAAGAGGTTCTCAGTATTTAGGTTTTTTTTTTATGTTTGTTACCTCATAACTCCATCAGTTCTAAATAAATTTGGAAAATGCTTTTTTATCTGAAAGATTACAAATTACAAACTAGTCTCATAGAATATTTACCAAAATCGGTTAAGTAGTTTATCAAATTTGTTGTATTTCTTGTTTAAATTACAACTTTCCATGACAGTGTCATTGATTGTTGTAATGTCTAATTTTAATAATACAAAATAATTCGATTTAAATTTGTTAAATTGATGATTAGTATTTTATTTAATAATTTTGGCAAAGGGCTTTAAAATATTTATATGCCCATTAACGGCGGAACATAACAATCTGTTTTTATTTTATTAATAAAATATCTAAGTGTATACAAATAAATGTTTGATTTATGTTTCATTTTAGACCATAATAACTGTTAGAAAGTGCTAACTGTCACACGGAACAACATAAAACACACTGTGATATTTCCTGTATCTTTCATACATTGTCATTCCTAAACCCTATCTTATATCATTACCTTATCTTTTATTCGCGTATTTTATTTATGGGTTCAGCAAAGCCGTCGCACGTCGACCTTAGGAATCTTCTGTTTTGTTGCTTCCCCTTGCCTTCATCGAATTTCTGAATATTAAGTTGTTAAGCCGTGTTGCCGTGTGTGCTCTGGCATTGAATGGGCCATCCCTTCCCTTCCTGTAGATGTCATAAGAGGCGACTAAGGGAAGCCGAGGGATGAGCAGTAGCGTCCCTCTTATAATATCTCTAACAGTCTATCTGCGGTTGCCAACCCACCTGCCAAGCGTGGCAACTACTGGCAAAATTCCCCTTATGAGGAAGGTTCAACAGTGGACAGTTAACGGCTGAAATAATAAAAAAGTGTTATGCCTCCGTACCCTGTAATTTGACTGTCATATCGCCCACTTCAAACTGAAAGACAAATATGAAACCTATTAGCAATAGAAGCACGAGTGAGAGAGAAGAACTTATGTACAAAGTCTTCCTCTAGTAGATTATTCTTAATCAATCCTACATTAATATTCATACCATTAGTAACATCGGTAACACAAATCCATTCTTCAACCATTAAAAAAAATACATACCCCGAGCATTCGATGCCACGAGCTAAACTAGTGTAGAATATATGTTTTCTATTTTGATTATTGTATAATTAAAAATTCACAGGAAAATTGATAGACCAAATATTTTGATTTACCAGAACAATAGGTTAACAAAGTTATCAGAACTCTATAATTGGATATACACAGTCATATGTATTAAAGATAGCAATAGTTTGTTTTCTATACTATTAAGTGTATTGCGTAACTATTACAATAGCTAAACAAAACTTGTGTTCTGATTTGTAGGATAAATTTACAGAAAATCATTGATATTTCAAATACTTTGCCTCAGAGAGAGGTTCTCTCTCTTGAATGGTCCAGTGCAAGATCGCAAAGATTATGAGTTCAAATTCAGTAAGGATTTGAACCTTAACTTCTTGGTAATCAAGTATTGATTGGCTGATAGATGGGAACTAGCGGCGGTATTTATTTATTTATTTAAATAACCTTATTGATCAAAAGATAATATGATATAAAACGCAGACCTAATGCTAGTAGCATTCTCTGCCAAACAACCTTTGGAATGAACAGTGAATCTCGTTATTCACTGTACTTATCTATTTTATTATATTCTTGAGACTAAAACCTGCTGCTAAATTTTTTAATTATTCAACCCGCTATAAACTAAAGTTCTACCCCAACGATCTGGATGAATTTTTCAAGGTACTTTCTTCCACACCACCACGCTCTGAAATTAATTTTTGGCAACAGTATTTCCGAACTCATATAATATCGTAACCTTTAAGAAAAGAGCATATTCTTATTTAAAAGGCAAGCAGTACACCTGCTAATCCTTCGGTATTGCAGATGCTCATTAGTGGCGACAGTCACTTACCATCAGTTGTGCCACATGCTCGATGCCCGTGTTATAAAAAATCAAATATATTTATTTGTGACGAGATGCAACTGAATAGGTGTAACTATAAATAAAACAGATGTCAATTTGTTAATTTTTTTATTTAAGAAAATATGCGACTAATAATTTATTATTTACAATATTATACTAATTAAAGCAAGGCCAAAGTATTCGAACAATTTACACTGGCATCAGATATTACAGATTATAAAGCTAGTTACCTTAAAACGCATGTTAAAAAATTACAAAAACGAAAACTTTATAACAATACAAACTAAGCGTGCGACGTTCCTTGAAATAACAAATATTAAACTAAGGAGCCTCGAGTTAATTATTTTAGTATAAGTACAAAAAAAAATATTATCTTCACAGAAGACAAAATACCTATTATTTTTAGTCATTAATCCGAGGGAACGCAATTAGTAGATTTTATAAAATTAAATACACTCACAATTTTCTTATGCAAATTCGTTAGCAGTTTTAAAAGTCAAGTGCTTTTTATTGTACTTTTTTTATTAATAGCGTCCATTTTATAGACGTAGAATGAATAAATTTGATATTCTTTGTCATAAAACGAAAGAATAAAATGTATGTAATTTGTTTAACGTTATCTGCGATTCAATACAAATCTACCTTTTGGTATAAAATTGATACTCTTTCACAATTATAGAAAATAAAATTGAAATCATTAATATAATTAGAAATGAGCATTCTGTAAGACTGAATATATTAAAAAAAAAATATGACAAAAACTTTAAAAATTTTCCCGTACCAAAATTGAAGAGAGGGCTGTTTTATTGGCGCTCTGGGTTGAATTAATAAAGGATTAGAGTGTACAGCACATATTCACGTTTTTTTTTCGTCATCGGCAGCAATCATAATAGAAAGCACAGTTAAAAACTTAACCAGAGGCAGTAGATATACTACGGCTGACTCTGAGCTAACCATGACGGTGCATTCGAATTGAGTCGACTGGGCTGAACTGTACGGTTTCAAATCTTAATTGCTTGCTTTTTCATAATAGTGTGTCTTAGCTTAGGGGCCAGATTTTATGATATTATATGATAAAGCAATTTGGAATTTCTATAAATTAGAATTCTATGCGTGAGAATACACAGAACCCAAAACTATTGTTCTAATATCACTAAAAATGTTAAATGCAATATTTTAAAACTTACAATATAATTATATTAAATATATAATCTAGAACATTTTTTACAGTTACAAATATGGCATTTATTGACGTCAATAGAAATTTTAACTTATTGCTACTTACAATAAATCGAAATCTGTATAACATTAAAACATAATTTGTATTATATAAATTTAACTGCTAATTTTCAACTGACTTTAATAAGAAGGAGGTTCTCAATTCATTTTTTTAATTATTTTTTTCTTCATAACTGCTGCAATTGTAAATCGATTATCAAAATACTTTTTTATCTGAAAGGGTATGATACTTACAGTCCGTAGAAATTTTATTAAAATCGGTTCAGTAGATTAGCGTTTAAATCAAAATTACTAGTTTTGCCACAACAAAAGTCGGTTTTTAGGGAAACACAAACTTAATTATGTATAAGTACTATTAGTATTTAATGAAAAAACTATATGAAAGATTACCAGGATAAAAGAACAGTGAACTCAGGTATGAAACCTGATAGAGATCAATGTAAGAGGAAAACATACTGAACCTAAAAAATAGAACAATGGTAAGGAACAACTATGTATTACTAACTATAAATTTTGCTATAACAACTTCATAAGGGGTTTATTATTGTCAAAATATATATATTTTTGAACTGTTGTTGTTCAAAATTTTTAAGTTTGTAAAATAAGCTCACTACACGCTTTGGGACACTGTAAGTGTGGTGAGTAATTTATTTAAATAAATAAAACGTTTACTTAGAAGATGCACGAACTATTGAATATAATATTCGACCACCATGTTATTTTAGAGAGATAGACAGCAACATCCTTATTACGAGTAAAACATCTCTAAAAGCCAGTTAGGTTGCTAAGCGTGGCAACTACTGGCAAAACTCCCCTCATGAGGAAGGAGTATGTTCAGCAGTGAATAGTTGGCGTCTGAAATAATATTATTTTAGACATGATAAGTTCAAATGAATTTACATGTTTACAAAGATTTTAGTACCTTCGCTTACCATTTTCTGAAACTACACTAGATTAATTGTATTTAAAAAAAAAACTGACTACAATTGCAAAACCAATACTAATTATTTTGATATAAAAACTAAACAACTGAACAACAGATTTTTATAAAATTTCTATGAAGCTAATCTGTAAGCTATATCCTTTCTGTTAAAAACTTATTCAAATCGATTTAACCCTTCTTTGCATACTGGTGGATCTTTTCCATCGTAACATTAAATGCTCAAAAATTATATAAAAGAACAATTTCATTTTAAGTTGTTCGTGTCTGGATACCTTTTTAATGTCCATTGCAAAAAAAAACCATAGCTGTCAAATTTATTTTTTTAACCATTTTTCTTTTATGAACATGAATTATATCATAAAAAAAAACATGCAAAGAAGGGTTAAAGCTGACGGGGAAAAAATACAACCGAATTGAGAACTGCCTTATTTTTGAAGTCGTTTAAAAAACATGATGATTTAAAAAAGAATTTATATAAACCTACTTAAATAAAGTTTATTTTTTAAATTAAACAACTCTGACAATATGTAAAATCCATTTCATTTACCTTAGAAATCTTACCCAATAATGTCTCAAACTTGACCAGGGTGTAACATACGATAAACAAAAGATAACCAACATGATAACGTTTGAGTTTTGTTTTAGAGTTAACGTTTTAATTACTAACCATCGGTGCATAATAGGAATTAGTAAATTGTTATTATAATTATAAAAAAAAAATATATTGAAAATAATTATTTCAGAAGTCGTTGTTTATCTGATTCTTGCCAGTATATTATATACACGAAAAATGTTTAAATATTAATAAAAAGTAAATACAATACTAAAATTCGCCGTTTCTGAAGAATAAAAAGGTTAACCGTCAATAGTTCAAGAAGAATAAATTACTGTTTTCTGGAGATTATTTGCGAAGTAATAAATTTGAAAAGTAAAAGAGAATATCGAAAATTCAAATGAGAGCTACTTTTGAGAGCTTTCGTCAATTTAAATAAAATTTTAAATAAGTTATTATAAAATAATTTAAAATGTAATATGCTATAATAATGACAGTTGCCACTTTATTCTATGGGAATGGCGTATTAAAGATTTACATAACAAATTATCCACCTCAAAATCGAAGTACTCGTAGGTGGCAGGCAATGAGGATTGAGACGTAATACACTTTACACGTGTAGTACTTCAAACGACTGTACTTTAGTTACGTACGTGACCACAATTATCCGTTGACCATCATTGCCCTATCTTCCCCTATACAAAAGTAACGCAATCAAAACAAATTCTTATGTTAATATTTTTTTGCACATTTGCTCGCATTATTTACATAGAGCTAGTTAATTGCATAACATCTGGACAGTTTAAACGCGTAACAATTCTATATAATCATTATCATTATAGTTAATAATGTTATCACAAGACAGAGGTGTTTATAAACAATATTCTTGGAATCATCAATTATACTGTTTCACAGTATTTAATTCTATAACAGATTAAAAATAACACGTACATACTTTAACTACACTTCTTGTATAGATAAATTGTTAATTTATTTATAAGAAAATATTTACTGTCAAATATCTCACAATTTAAATGTAAACGTATAAAAATATGGCGATATACTAAAATTATTATTTTTTATTTAAGACTAGTATAAAATTCAAAGCTGAATATTGTATGACATAAATACAATACCACTAATTAAGAATGTGAAATTATGCAAAGATGTCTAGATATTTGTTACAAAATAACCCCTAAACGGCTATTAAAATTATATAACATTTAGTAAATAAACAGATCATAATAATCTATTTATAGATTAACCAGAATATTCCCCGGTTAACACAGACACATGCAAAGCCCCGGGTTGTAGCTAGTGTTAGAAATGTGAATATTTGACAAGATATTATAATGTAATAACTACCGGGACCCTTAATCGTCAGACTCGAGCTCACGATTAAAGGTCCCGAATAGTCGTGAAACTAGTCGAGTTTACTCAGCCTAACTACAAGGAAGTTAAACCGATAGTTATTTCGTTGACATATAATATGTATATACATTATTTATTTCTCAATCGTAAGTTGTTATGAAGCTGAAAATTTTTTGAATAAATTTTTATACACCTACGAACTATATTTTGGATATACTTGTATTGTATGCGCGGGCAACGCTGAGGTTTATAGCTAGTATTTAATAATTAACAGCCATGATAACAATTTATTATCATAACATCGTATCAAATTAGACATTATGTAATTATCAAATATTGAGTTCACTAACTAGACAAGTTAGAGAATTCATATTTCAATTAGTCAAATTGAATTATCTAGTCATTCCAGTATTTGTGATGTAAAAATCAATAAGCTAACATTTTTACGCGATATTAATAGAATTGTAGATTCAATGATTGTATTTATAAAGTTACATTCATCAAACTTTAATATATATGACATGGAAAATATTAATTTTAAAAAAAATAACAGTTTACGATAGTGTTGTGCCGAATCAGACTGACTTGAGTATTGACTCAAATACCTAACAGGTCCTCGAGTCAGGATACTCAATATTTAAATACAGGTTAGTAATTACAGTACTTGTATACTGCCCGTGTGTTTATCTTAAGCTTTTCTGTTTATATAATTTTTTATGCAACATAGAATGGCACACAAGCTGACGGCTCACCTGATGGAAAGTGGGAACCGTCACCTATAGACATGAGTAGTACCATAGACATAACAGAGTATACTGTTTCGCCCATGATACTCCCCATGCGTTGCCATTCCTGAGGACTCAGGTGTTATTCCTCTGTACCCTGTAAATTCACGCCATATCCCACCCTTTAAACTGAAACATAGCCGGGCAAACACAACTGCTTCACGGTAGAAACACGTATGGAACAGAGTTGGCCAAGCAAAAGTCTTTTGTACAAAGTCTCCTTCTGGTAAATATTTACCAGACAACATATATTATTTAGACATTTTATTCATATATTCTTTAATAATTAAAAAAAAAATTTTCAAATTACTTATCATTTAATATATTTATAAAAATAAACTTCAAAAGTATTCTAGTCTGATCTGAGTACTCGAACACTTGTCCGATTCCTAGGATTCGAGACAATATTAATTTTAATAAGTACCAAAATAATCTTATATCTAAAAAAAAAGCCTATTCGGTACAACACTACTTTATGGCTTCCATATTTATTTTACACCATAGTCATGTAACCTATAACCTAACAATTGTACCCAATAGCATTCACTTATACTCGTATATGGCACTGCCACAATTATGGCAAAATGAACGACACTTTTTAATAACCCCTTTTATTAAAAAACAATCAAGCCTTTTAGGGTATATTTTGCTTCAAATATCCAGACATACACAAATTCATCTGAAAAACAATACCTTCCTTTCCTAAAATCGGTCAAAAAAATTATAACTGTTTTACCTTTAACAGATACACGAATCAGTCACACCTTAGAAGTAGCTGTCAACATAACATAGCTCGCTCTTGGTGTTTCTTCCAACACAGGTTCCTGCCTAAAACACCTGTGAGGTTCAAACTCTGTTGGTTTCCTTAGCATCTTCCGTACAAAACATACCAAACCTACAACTACAACCATCAAACCAAGAGCTACGCCTATTAGTGCTGTATTCAAGCTCTTCATACTGCCCTTCATCTCCAAAGAGCCTGTTTCGAGCAATTGTGGAACAACGCATATTGGATTAATTTCCTCCCCTTTACTGTATTTGGACAACGTTGCGCAGACCTCGTAAGGTCCTCTCATAAAACCCTCCATTGTAATTTGTAAAGTTGCTATACAAGGAATATCCTTTTGCGCAACCAAAGATCCTTGAGATAGAACTGCGATTTCAACATAACAATTGGTTAGGGGATATCGTGCATCAGAGATCCTTTGGGATCGCGGTTTGATATATTGGGATCGTGGAAGCAGTCCCATGACTGATACCAACACCGTCAAAACACCATCAGTGGTTACATTGGAGCGTACTTCTGTGACCCTGTAACAAACATTATTTTTATTTACGACTTACGTTTAGTCCTAATAGTATTCTTAGTCCGTCACCGCATAGATGGAATAAAAGGATGTAACTACTGTAACAAGTTTTGTCTCCATATCTTTTATTCCCCGGATGTCATAAAAGGTGAAGAGGAACAAAACACAATATACCGACAGAAGAGAAGAAAAGTCCAAAATATAATCACATATCGAGCCATTTAATGTATAATCCTGTCATAGAATAAGCTAGCCTTTCGTTTCCGGGGGAAAGGGATTGTTAGTAATGGAGACTGAGAATCCTATTGCTAGCAATATACCCAACCAGGTCGACCTCCTCGCGGTTCTCCCTAGAAACTATCATGGTTAATTCCTGATGAATTCATCATGATGAGCTAACTGGCCTGTTTTCATTCTCATCTATCACCCTTCACTGGTGCTCCGCCAGCGTATCTCGTTAGCGCAAGCGGGGTTACCATACCATTTTCACTCATAAAAAAAGCCCTTCGTTTCCGTGGGTGTCATAAGAGGCGACTATGGGAAGACCAGCGATAGGCAGCATCTCCAAAGCCTAACTACGGTAACCAATCCACCTACCTACTGGCGAAACCCCAATATGGAGGGTTCTAGATTCAACAGTGAACAGTTGACGTCTCATATGGCATGATATGATCATTATATCCAGTATACAGTATTTGATAAATAATTATATTTTATAAAATCCTGCTAATTTTTATAGGGGGAGACTTATATCCAGCAGTGGACAGTTAAAGGCTGATATGATGATGAGGAAACCATTCGGCCAGCATGATGATAGTATAATCTCCTCCTCTATTAAATATAGAGACTCATACTCGATAGCGGATAGTTAAAAGCATGTCAATTGTAATATCGATCAGAGAGTAATATTGTTAAAATAGATCTATTAATATTATATCAAGAAATTTCTATTGTTATATATAAAATTGTACCATTCGTTAATTGATTGAATTCTATATACAAGCAAACATATAATTACCTCCTACTTATAAGTACATACGTGTATATTGTAATTATATAAATTCAACTAAATTACTAGGTTGATTGTGGAAAATATAATTTGAAATTTCATTTTAATACGCTATATCTGTAATTAGAGTGGAATAAAATTGTCTATAAAATCAATAGTAATAGGCCCTCACAATCAGGACGTAGTAAATGGATTGATTATAAAAAGGGACCTACCAGAAGCCAAATATTCAAGAAAATCATAAGTATCTATTAGATATTAGGAAATAATTCTGTAAGTGTGGCTGATTTTTGTACTTTTTACGAAAATATATGTTTTGATGTCACAAGAAAACCTGATTTTTTTTCATTGATATATTATTGTTTGGTAGCCCTAGTATATTCAAAATTTGATATAAGTTTTCATGTGACAAAAAAAAATACAAATTTGTTGACCAGTGTTATCAAACTATAACCATAATAGTAAGCAAACTCTAATCATTACTAAATTATATAAAAAAGCAAAATTTCTGAAAATTTTATTGCTTGTTGACAAATCGCACATTACGTATTAGTTAATAATACAACTGAGTAGACGGAACAAGGGTAAAATAAATATAAATATATACATGTATTTTGCCTACAGACAAAATGTCTCTCATTTACACAGACTATAATGTCACTTTAATATAAACTAGTTGTTTCCCGCGGCATTACCCCAATTCATCATTATATATAGTATCACATGAGTGAACTTTGAATATGACCTACCCTAATATTCTATGCCTATTATATGCCATGTTGTCCCGGCATAGAATAGGCCACCCCTTCTTCTCTTGTGGGTTGTGGTAAGAGGCGACTACTATGGGAATTTATTGGTCGAGGGATGGGAAGCAGCGTCCATCTTAAAACATTTCCAAAGCCTAACGGCTGCCAATCCACCTGCTAAATAAACTCAGTCGTAACTACTGCTCCCCCCCCCCCCCCAAGGTGAGGCTTACGTTCAGCAATGGACAATTAACAGTTGATATATGTTGCCCTACCCATGCACTAAATTTCATACAAGTGAAATTTGTTACAAGCATCATTTGCTTATTTGCCACCGTGGTAGTACAAAACATCTTTTCAGTCATTTAATCGTAATTGTGTAAGAAACATCCAAATATTTTTACAAGTTTTTATATTTATAATAATATATTTTATATTTATAATAATAAATTAATAAATTAGGGTGTAAAAATAAATTGTAAATATGTGTAGATATTTCTTATATTTAAACTCAACTGCTTGCTACACAATCACGCCTAAATGGTTGGACTAGATTAACACATCAGATTAACATACTTTATATATAAATTAAACCAGATAATACCGTTGGATATATCAATATTCAACAGTATTACCCGCATGAATTATAGTAGATTATAATTAGGTTTCTTACCGAAATCCCTCAATATCTGGAGCAGAAGTGATGATGACAGGAGCTGCAGTGGCGAAGGTCGCCCTTTGTCTAACCAACTGCGGTGAGCCGCAGCCCAACACAAGGGACAAGGGAATATCTGAATTGTCCATTTCCTCAAGTGCAATACAGAACCTGGTAACAATTTTTTTTCTTAAGAAACGTGGTGGTAAGGGGGGTAAAAGGAATTACTAATAATGGAGTGTAACAACCCCACACAATTAGCAATGACTAGTATCCTATCAGAACTACCACCGTGTGGTCCTCCCCCCACCCCTCACGAAAAACCTCGTGGTTAAATCCTTGTAAATTCATCCCGACGAGCTATTTGACCTGATATCATCCCCATCATATCATTCACTGGTACCCCACCAGCATATACTGATATCACAAGTGAGTTGATTCTATAATAATCCATTAAAAAAACTGATGGTAATCGCCCACCACAGCCCAAGAATGTTTGTAATACCAGCGACAACTCCTTGTTAGCGATTCTTTAGATTTTGTGTCACAGTACCCAATAATTTCACTAACAAGTCTTCCACTATGTTACCTTATATATTATGCAAGCAAACTTCTTGGTAAAATAGACAAAATCCTTCATAAGAATGAAATTGAGCTACTTTGTGAAGATGTTGCCCAAAATTTTGTTTAACGTTGCTAAAATTTACACAACGCAAATAAAGAATTTTTGGGGGGTATTTTATTTAAAAATCTAATGTATTTCTTTTACATTTTTAATCTTGCCACAAAAAATCTTTTACTTTAATAACCATATTCTATGTTCCCGAAGGGATGCCCTGAATTAATTTCTTAAGCCTGCTAATAAACACGGCAATTTCGCATGTATTTCGAGACACTAATGACTCCCATGCTGATATCGTATTTATTATTCATTAGTTTTTATACCTTGTACCTTGTAATTTCTGTTCCATTCCAAAAGCGAAAACGCTTTTAGCATTAAGAAAAACAATTTAAAGGTTCGATTATATAATACAGAATGATAATATGCACAACATTGAAGGATATATATATATATATATATATATATATATATATATATATATATATATATATATATATATATATATATATATAACAACTTAGAAGGATAAACATACTGTGTGAGACTGATAAACATAACAACCCACGGTCATAGTAGAATACATTGATGACATAGTGGAATATGCTGAAGTGTTAGTAGAATACAGTGAAGATATCCCTTTATTTATCATAATAATGCAGTGTTCGGTGCCCTCCATATCTGTAACGCTTTGATACCGTTCTGTACTCGTATTTATTATTGATGAGAGAGACGTGATATTTCAAATTTCGAACCTCAATTATGAATGAACTTACATTTTATCAATCGTTCGTGACTCAACATCACTGGCGTTACGTTACGTTACGTTACGTGAGTGTATAAACTCATAAAATTAATTGACATATTGTAGCTACCTTTTACAAGTATTTTTATATTCCATATTTAATTCTGAATGCAATGTATTTTCAAGCTTTACAAGTATATTTATACTCAAAGATTTATTTTTTATAATACAGATAATATACGACGCTTAAGGTCAGTCAAATATTTGATATTTCAATTGTCTATGATACACGATATAAGTAACACCATAGATATTGTTAAATATCGATGGGGTCCATGGCTAGAGAAGCGTCTGAAAACCCAAAATATTACTTTTATATTTTGACTATTTTTGTTATTGAAAAAATACAGAAAAATAAACATACAACTTGAATAAATATAATAAGTATTCTTTTTTCCAGTAGGTAAACGTTTATCTTTTTTTTTTAACTTAATGCATTTTCAAATACAATATAAAATTTATAATTAGTAAAAATATATTCTTTTTAACTAAAAAGATAAGGAGGCACTCGGAATCTATTAGTTAGAATAGGTTTAAAGACGTTTTTAATAAGGGGGTAAAGTCCTAGATAGTTATACTAAGAACTCGTTATAACAAGAAATAGAGTGTGCTCTGTAAATAGCAATATCAATTAAGATAAAATTAATATTTACCAATAATCTCAGAGTAACAAGTATACTTAAAACGAATAAAATGCTCCGATGGACTCGGTGCACTTTATTCATTTTTTAAAAAAATAATTAAGAAAATTCTAAAAGAAAAGAGAAGGTTAATTAACGGGTATTAAGAACAATTAAGCGCAGAAACAAAGTCTAGTCAGAATAAAATCACTAGAAAAAAACTTCGCACAAAAGTTGTCTTGTATGTACTTATGTGACAGAGGTGAATAACTCAGTCACATTGAGAGGAAAGGAATTGTTAATATCGGGATCTAACAACCCTATGGCTAGCAATAAAAATTATCAGGTCGACCTGCACGCGGATCACCCTGGAAACCATCTTGATTGATTCTTTATGAATTCGTCACTATAGGCCAACTAACCTGTATCATTCTAATCTATCATTCCTCACTGGTGCCCCGCCAGCGTATACCGATAGCGCAGGCAGCATTACCATTCCATTATCACCCATTTAAAAAAACTCTGTCACACTCGTGTTTGAAGCAGCCGTGCTTTCATGGCTACGTTGCAGTTTGAAAAGGTATATGGCAGTGAAATTACAGGGTACGGAACCATAACAACTTAGTAGTAATAAACAACTCAATAAGGCAATGAGGGGTACCATGTGCATTGAATTGTTATTATGTGACTTCCACGGTACCGTTCATGGCTGTACGTAACAACTATATTACCACTTTCCATCAGGTGGCCCATTAGCTTGTTTGCCATTTCAACCTATAAATATTAGTTTGTGAGAATTTTATGTGTGGATAGCTGCTTATTACGTTTACCCGCAAAAACTACTGAACAGATTTTAATGAAATTTGTTACACGAATCTATACAAATATTATGAAGAAGTAAAGATTGTGATTTTGGACGGTCAGAGCATCTCTAATAATTCTGATTCGATTTTGATATATCTTTTACTGTAAGAAATATCCCTGAGTGCTATAAACTACTTTTTATTTTGGTAAATATACATTTTCTATAATTAATCACAATATAATTGATGCATTTGCCTGCGCTGCCTGACCAGTCTAAATGAAGTCGGTTATAAATGAATAAAATCTACAGCAAAAATATTAATTACTTTTAGCTTTACAAAAAGTCTGCGGCACCGTATATCTAAAATTAATATCTGACCGAAAAAAATGGCATTTATGATAAAAGTAAAATAAATTTAAAAAATCGTTCATTTTAAATTTTAAAAAATTTTAGTCCAATAGTAGTAGTAGTCACACATGCGAAAATACCAACCTTACTAAAATGTATAGAACAGTTTAAAAGTTACACAAAAATATAGCACCCGTGCGCAGCCGAGGCTCGTCACTAATAGGTTATATACTAACTTTAAATATAAAATACTTAATAGAATAGAATAGAAAATATTTGTTACCAGAAAAGTTGTTAAACTCATCGCTATATTTATTTATTTATTACATCCACTGGGTGAGCCTTACAGTCTTCCAATACGCTCACCCAGGACAGCATGAGTACAAAAAGGATTGTATGGAATATAATATGTATTGTATTCCATACAATATATATATATATATATATATATATATATAACTACAAAAGAAAACACAAAAATACTACATATATGTATAAGAAGTGTCTCATGTTAGGCAAAAGAAACTGGCTCAGCTGACACTGTGACTGGCCCAGTGCAATGTGTACAGCTACACAGCGCTGGTTTTCAGCCAATTCCTCTCTAATACAACAATTAATAAAGTGATTGGCACAGGAAAAGCCATGGAATATAGCTAGTGTTGCATAGAAAAAATGTAAAACTTCTTACGTGTATTTATCAATAGGATCAATCTTCAGTCCTCTCAACAGCACGTTGCCAGGTGCAGCCCTGTGGCAGGCCACGTGTTTCGGTATACCACCAGCTCTAGAGACGGTGACGCCGGTACACCTGTACCGGTTGGTTGACGGCGGATCTATTGACCAGGTTAAATGGACTACTTCGTCGTCGAACCACGCGTCTGTTAGACGGACCTAGAATGATTAACATAATGTTAATTAATATGCTTAGGACTGTCGTCTCTGATAGTCAAGGTATTTTTTAATGGATAATAATGGAATGGTAACACCACCTGCACTAATAACAGGACAAATCCTAAATAATATTATAAATGTGAAAGTGAGTTTGTTTGTTACCTTATAGTGTGTTAACGTTTTATCCAAACACTATATAATATGGTCAGTAAATATATTACGGTCATGCAGACAAAGTCACAGGTAAAAGCTAATTACTTATAAAAATAAACTTATAAATTATTTCACACAACAATTTGTATCCAATTTTATCAAAACCCCTTAACATACCACTGATAGATATGTAGATAATTTATTTGCATCATTCACACACATCAGCATACAAATAACATCAGATATAGGTACCTACATATTTGAAAAAATAAATAAAACAATACATATACAAAGCAAAAAAATAGATAAGCACGTATCTCTAAAATAGTAACTCTTAAATGGCTATATTTCGGATTGAAGGACGGGACATAGCTGTGAAATTACAGGATAATTAGAAACATAGCATTATAATTCTCACGAATGCTAACACATAAACTTCTCATGGGTATTACAGTATATTCCTTAATGTCCATAATACTATACATGTCTGTAGAAGACGGTTACCACTCTCTATCAAGTTGCCTTTCCGAACAGTATAAAAAATCCAGTTCATTTAGTTAAATTGACCACAATTAAAGGTTGGCAACGTGGATTGTAAAACAAACGAGGTAAAACAAATGAAACTCCGCTATTTATCTCACGTACAAACAGTGCATTGTGTTTACAATGTCATTATCATGGATTTCGTGTAATATGTACATATTTTACTAATATGATAAAATTGTAAGTAGACGATATCTGTACATGGGAGCTATTCAAGCATTTAAGGAAATTATTATGAGGGATTTTAATAACAGCAATAAAAATCAAAACAATAATTTTTAGAATTTTTATCTGTCTGTCTGTATGTTTGTTTTGGCGTCACGTAAAATCGATTATACCAAATTGGGTACATGTTTCAGAGTGTCTACCATGAAATGTTTTTCGAAATTTTGGGACCAAACGAAATACAAATTAGATGTTAAAATTTCATAGTACAAAATGGTTAAAAATATTAAAAATGTTAAAATATCGTTCCTTTGGACTTTTATGGTAGGATTTATAACGAACGAAAACTAAACAATCAAAACTAAGCAATAAAATTGCGTCAATTTTATATCATGGTAGACCCCCAGAGTTGTATTCCTGAACTGAATCTAACTTAAAAACTGGTTGATGTTTTATCTTGACACATCGTCTAGAAGTGATTTTTCCTCTTAGTTTTCCTACTTCTGAAATCCACGCGTACGAAGTAGCGGGATGAAAATTTTTATTTTAAATTTCGTAAAGAATTGTCAGTTTGTGACTGCTATATTTATATATATATATATATATATATATATATATATATATATATATATATATATATATATATGGTACTGCTCATGTCTATAAGCGACGGTTACCACTTTCCATCAGGTGGGTCGTCAACTTGTTTGCCATTCTAGAGTATTTCTTTATCTTTTCTAACCGTATAAAAAAAAAAAAATTTAGTGACCTACATTTCTGAATCACTCAATTACAAATTGACGATTCTGAACTTTATTATATGATTTAAAGTTTAAAATTAAAAGCACTTCAAAAGAAATTAAAATTAATCACACTCACTTTGGATTTCGAAGTCGGTAGATCCTCTTCTGATGGTATTTCCAGTTCTTCATCGTAAATATCATCATCCAAGCCTTCTTGTTTATCCACATAGACATCTTGCGTTTCGACGTCGATAAATTTCTCTTGGCCGTCTATTGTATTAGTAAGAACTTTATTATAATCGTTGTCGTCTTTAGTCTTGTCTGCATGTTCGAAGTCGTCGCAGAGTTTGTTTTTCGATAGTCGAGACAATAAAGCCCCTTCTAAATGAGGCGGGGTGGCGCACACCGCGGCCGATTTGTCCGATTGTGAGAGATTTTTTGCGTCCCGAAGCCACCTAGCGAAACCGGCCATTAGGCAGTCGCAATTAAGTGGATTATCTGAAAGGACACCGACTTTATCTTTACAAAGAATAACAAATGTGATTAATTTTATAACGCCAATAAATGTCGCCCGCTTTGCATCGTTAATGACTTCTTTAAAAAGATTAATAATCTTATTATCTCATCTTGACAATAATCATGTGTTAATTTATTAATAAGATAATAAATACGATGGTTTATACCCATGGATAGATGGATATTTGGATGGATGGACTCTTTCACCCATAAACTACTTTCTTCTAACTTTTCTTTCTTTTAGCTTTCAATCAAATTTGGTACACTAGTAGACTATATTCTAATTTAGCACATAGGATACTTTATGTACTAATTCACGCTGGCGAAAGCGTGGGATATAACTAGTAATAAATAAATAAACAAAAATATTTTTTATTCAAGTAAACTTAATTACAAGCATTTTTAAGTGGTACTTTTTTAATCTACCGTCCAGTTCTAAATGTAATTTTAGCTGAAAAGAACGAGAAAGAAACTCAACTGTTGCCTTTTTTCGATTCAAATTGAATTTACAAAAATATAGAGAGAAATGTAAGAAAATGGAATATCAACAGTATATACCTAATTACACCTGGTCCTCTAACAAGTGGCAAACTAATCCATTGAACGAATCATTATCGTAAGTCCATGACTTGGAATGAAACAGCTGACATCTGCCCCTTGACTCATATAAAACTTTCTTTACCATTATTATATCTAAAGGAAATCTACCTTTTCATTATTTTACGTTAACCTGTTATAAAACATAAAATAAATCAAACATATCGTGACAATCCATAATTAACTCAACGTCATGTAATCTAAATTGGTTGCATGCGGCGACATTCATAATTTCATGGTGCATATCTTAATGGTTGTTTTTTTTTTTAATAAATAAGCATAAATGTTCAACAATCATGAATGTTTTTACACAAAAACAACTACTATAGTTTTGATAACATTGAAATGAAACAATATTGTAAAATAAAATTATATAAATCGGACAACAGTTTTTAAAAATGTCACAAAACATGCACACGGGCAGTAATTTGTTAATTTAATTCAATTAACTATTTTAACCATAATAAAATATGGTACACAAGACGTAATGCTATTAGGTATTTTGGCTACCAGTTTTACCTTTGCAATGAACAATGAAATACAAACAATCGTAAAAAAATATATGGGACCAAATCAAAAATAAACTCAACCAAAAAAAAAAAAGAGAAATATCGAAACTGGTTTATAAATGGCGTAAATTCCGTATGTGTACACAAAAAAATATAAGAAAAACCTTCTGGATATCGGTTAAAAAGCAAGACAGCCCCCGAGTTCAATTAAAAATTACTTACTTTTTCAAATCAACTAAAATTCTTTCGTCATCATCAACATCAATGGTTTTGCCAGTAATTACCACGCTTGGCAGGCGGATTGGTAACCGTAGCTAGGCTTTAGAGATGTTTTAAGAGGGACACTGCTGCCCATCACTCGCCCTCACTTAGTCGCCTCTTACAATACCCACGGGAAAGGAAAGGATAGTCTATTCTATGCCGGGATCACACCAAAATTCTTTGGGCAACTTTAGTTATCGTCACGGAATATAAGGCGACGCTGTCCTGAGATTTTCTCATGCATTCATGAGAATTTCTCACTACTCGTGCGGGCAACTTTTAAAACATCGGTTACATGATAAATGACCGTTGACGAAGTAAATGATATTTGTCAGAATGTAGACAAGTGGCGCTCTATTCGCCCCGCTGGGGACATAGCGTGAAAATATGTCAATGTCAGACGTAAAGTACCTAGTGATTGATGATTCCATACCGAATTCATGTACAGTGGTAATACAATGTTAAATATTATAGTTTTTTTCTTTTTATTATTATTATTTTTTTTTTAATTTTTAATAAGACTAATTTTCAATTGAGAACAAACTGTTAGAGAAATATTTAACCCAATTGAGTATAATACGCAATGTCTTCTGATATACCAATTCTGAAACGGTTTTTTATGTTTTGTTTTATACTTTGCAGTCGATATGGTTCGCAGTGTGGTTCCGATTTAAAATATTACCAAAATCCTAACTTCGGTTGCCAATTCACTTGTTAAGCATGGCAACTATTGGTAAACCCCCCCTTTATAGGAGGAAAAGGAATTGTCACTGTCAAGTCGGTCTCTACGTGGTCTCCCCTGGAAACCATCGTACTGAATTCCAGGTGAATATGCCTGGAATTCAGCACGATGGTTCCAGGTATATTCATCACGATGGGCTAACTGACCTGCTTTTTATTTTCATCTGTCATTCTTCACAATACCCCGCCAGTGTATACGGCTACCATTCCATTATCATTCATTAAAGAAACCACCTATTAGACTATTAATAAGGGAATCTAATATCACCATTGCTAGCAATATATCCTATCAGGTGACCTCCACGTGTTTCTCCCTGGAAACTATCGATATTAATTCTTTGAATTCATCATGATGGGCTAACTGTCCTGCATACATCCTCATCTATCTATATATACAGACAGCACAGATGGGATTAATTAACAAAAACCATACAACTAGATGGAGCGACAATTTAATATGTCACTGGAAATCAATGGATCCCGGTAACTCAGGACCGTTCCGTATAACTAAATTTATAGCTAAAATAATAATGAATACAATTAAAATTTAAAATATAGTTTTAAAATACTATTTATTGGTTGAAATACTAGTTGATTTATTCGTTGGGACTGATTAAAAACTAGCGCTGTGCAGCTATACACATTGCGCTAGGACACTCACAGCATCAACTAAGCCAGTTTCTTTTGCTTAATATGAAACAGTATTTGTAATATTTTTTTATTTTCTGTTGTAAATCTGTTTTTCTGGTAATAAATATATTCTATTCTAAAAGTAAATAATGACTTTCAATCTTTTATTACGGTGAAACAAAAATCTTTTATTCTTCTTTTATCAACAGTACGGAATGTTTACTAAATATTAAATATATCAATTCAACCCTCTTCATCAAATATAGGAATCTGATCAGTCACGGTAACAAGATATCAATAGAAGCTACAAATAGTATCATCAAAAGTCGTTATTAAAAAGCTCATAAATAACAAGGGCACAAAGCTACGAATAGTAAAAGTCATGCAACAATATAATATGAAGTAGCGTCCCATGAGTAAGGAATTCTACAGAACTCAAGCTACATACAACTGATCCGCTGTAGGTAAAAACAGGCAGTTGAAAAGTATTTTATTTATTTCTAATCAGAAGTTTAAAACTGAAGTTTCGTACTTCTAGCTTCAATTATAACAAAATTCAATACAATCTTTCCTCACCTATTCCCCTTTGGGGGTGAGTTCTTCAAAAGCCAATAAACTTATTAGTTTTATTTTAAACTAAGAGCCTAAATAATATATAAAAAAATTTCACATGCCTAACTTTTGAACTAACAAAATTCCATACAAACTTTTAACCCTCGTTTTATCTTATTAGACGGTAAATTTTTAAAATTACTTTCATATTGTTATATAAAAAACAGAATTTTTAGATTCTAGATTCAGCAGTTTTGACTGTGCGTTGGTATTTTTTTATACCACTGAGGTGGCAATCAAGCATACGGCCCACCTGATGGTAAGTGGTTACCGTAGCCTATGAACACCTGCAATACCAGAGGTATTACGCGGATATATATGGATCAGTCAGTCACTCAGCATTCTCTATTGTCAACCGACTTAAAAAAAGATGGTTCTCAATTCAGAGGGCCTACCATACAATGTTTTCCGAAATTTCGGAGCCGAACGAAACACAAATTTGATGTTAAAATTACATAATTCTTACCGTTTAAAATATTAAAAATATGAAAATATTATTCCTTTGGACTTTTATGGTAGGATTTATGACGAACGAAATGTTAAGCTCCATTTACTGGCCCGATTTAGGTATGAACTAAAACACGAAACTGAGTCCGAAACTTCGGAATTTCATTTCATGGTAGGCCCCCTGTAGTATTTTTTTATATATATCGATATATGTCGGCGATGAATATAATGGCTTGACTCTGTAAAGATATTTACTCATATGGTGGCATCCCGAGCCGGCGCTTAACAAAGAGTTTACGCCGTCGCCGTCGCCTCACTCAAAGCTGAATATCGATAAATACCTACTTGATACACACAGCCTCGTCATTCATCAATCGTCAAATTTTATCTTAAATCTCTTCAATATATTTATATAGCTCATCAGTAATACTAGTTTAAGTTTAGTTACTTTTACAATTTGTTAAAATTATTGAATAATTTCTACCTAATGAAAGTTATTTGTTGTTTTACAGATTACTATAAAAATCGATGTAGGTATATTCATGTACATCTAATTGATTACAATAAATTTAAAAATTCGATTGTAATTATTGAAATCGTATCTACTTTATTAATTATAATAACAAATATTATCATCGTCATCATATCAGCCATATATACTACGTACTGGTGAACATAAGCCTTCTCCATACATGCTTAGTAGGTGGGTTAGCAACCGCAGTTAGGCTTTAGTGATGTTTCAAGAGAACTCTCTGCCCCATTCGTGTTTCAACCGTGAAGCAGTTGTGTTTGCATGGCTATGTTTCGGTTTGAAGGGTGGGATATGGCGTGAATTTACAAGGTACAGAGGAATAACACCTGAGTCCTCAGGAATGGCAACGCATGGGGGGTATCATGGGCGAAACAGTATACTCTGTTATGTCCATGGTACTGCTCATGTCTATAGGCGACGGTTACCACTTTCCATCAGGTGGACTGTCAGCTTGTTTGTCATTCAAGTTGTATAAAAAAAAAGAGAGATGCTGATGCCCATCGCTCGACCATTAAGTGTCCTTAATCGCTTCATACGACACCCACGGGAAAGGAACGGGTGTTACGTTCTATACAGCAAACACGCAGCAATAAATTCAAAAATATACTGTCGTTACTCCAAAAGTTCTTAATATCTCTTTATGGAAATAATCACCTAAACGAAATGTACGTGTTGCGCTCACTAACTGCCAAACCCATAAGTCACTGCTAAATTGCGAATCATCGCCCTGTCATTACCTTCAATAGTGAATCGTCCGAGGTCCTTGTGCTGCGCCAGGGCGCCGTCATCGATCATCGATATGTCATTATCGTGGAGGAGCAGCTCTGTGAGATGTCCGAGAGATTTGAGTGGCTCCGCAGATAGGGAACGGAGGAAATTATGTGACAAGTCCAGGTGGGATAGTTCCGTCAACTGCGCTAGAGACGCACCTGTAAATTCAATTCTTAAATTAATTAATTGATTACTAATGAATTATTTTTTATATTATTAAATTATAATTAATAATAGAAATATAGCAAAGAAGGTAAGATAGAAAGAAAGAGCGCAAGCAAAGACCAAGTATATTAAACAAAAATGTAATCGACGCGACACCTAAGCAGCGCCATGTATATCAGAGAATACATAGAAGCCCATATATAACCCTCATGGGTTGCCATTTTAGAAAACTAAATTGTTGTTATGACTTTTTACCCCATAATTTAGTGTCATATTCCAACTGAAATACAGTCACTTTGCTACAGTCTCACCTAGGAACGAATCTATTACATTTTGAATTTTTTGACGTTCCAACACGCAAGAGTCGCATCATAAAACTTTCTTTTGCGACACTAATATTAATTCGTCGTTTAAATAGTTAAATAAATATTGTCTTATAAATTTCTGCCGTAAAACCAGCAATGAAAGCACTCTTATATTGCATTATGAATAAATAAACGGAAGCTAATGCAACCCCTCCGAGACATTTAATCATGATGTCGTTCATGTCTAGAGGCGATGGCTTTGCATTAAATAAGTAACCGTGTTGACAATACAGTCAATTTCAATGAATAAACAAAGTATTTTTTTTTTATTCTTAGGGAGATAAATGAGCAGGGGGACCACTTAACGGAAAGTGGCTACTACCGACTATAAACACCTGCAACATGAGAAGAGTTGCTTATGCGTTATGGCCCTTTTAAATGTTTATAGGCACGTTTAAAAGGTAACTAAGTTTTATTCAAATTATTATTATTATTAGGATGGGATATGGCAGTGAACTTACAGGGTACAGAGGAATAGCACCTGACTCCTTAGGAATGGCACCGCATTGGGGGTATCATTGGCAAAACAGTATACTCTATTATGTCCATGGTACTGTTCATGTCTATAGGCGATGGTTACCACTTTCCATCAGGTGGACCGTCAGCTTGTTTGCCATTCTAAGTTGCATAAAAAAAATTGTGTAACTTTTTCTAACAACATAGCGACTAAACAAGTATACCGCTCACTTGTTGTATGTTGTATCAGTCTTTAAGCGTATACTAGTGAACATAAAGGGAGTTTTGCCAGTAGTTGCTATGCTTAGCAGGCGAATTGGCAAACGCAGTCAGGCTTTAGAGATGTTTTAAGAGGACGACAGTTACCACTTTTCATCAGGTGACCCACCTGCTTGTCAGCTTGTTTGCCATTTTAAATTGCATAAAAAAAATTATTACATAAACACTAATAAAGTTAGTATTAAATCGAAACATTCAGTCAATTAATCGATTTGTCATTTGCACTCTGCCACGGGTACTATAATTAATCTACTCGTATATTTGCACTACCGTATAAGTAGACTATCTTATAGCTGGATATGTTAATATTTATTTACATTATTGACGATTTAAAAGTGCTATAAGCACTTTAAAAAATGGATTTAAATATTATTTAATTCTATTGAAACAGATTACAGTATTAAATGATTATAAGATTATAAAATATTTATTTATTTATTTACTCTTTACTACATCACTTAAAGAAAAATACTATATATATATATATATATATATATATATATATATATATATATATATATATATATATATATATATATATGTGTGTGTGTGTGTGTGTATGAAGTACAAAAGGCGGTCATAGCGCTAAGTAAATTTTTGTATTTTATTTGTATCTTTAACTATCTCATTTGTATAATAAATATAAATTTCAACCTCTTAAATTGATATGCTTCGAGATAAAAACAATTCTATTAAACTTTACTCGTAAATGAATCGTGTAAATGTAACAGTAATAAATGAGTAAAATAATTCCCTTCTTTTTGCATTCGTATTGCAAGCAACAAGTACTTTTCTCGTTTTTAATGGCGGAAATTAAATGTCAGAACGTTTGGCGGCGTTTTTATAATAAACCCCATCCCATTCCCATGTTCAATATTATCCATGGAATATCCTGATTCATTTAGCTAACAGCTTTTAACAGCAGCTTAACCCGCGTTGCGATTGTGATAGTGATTCTCGCGATAAAAAATTGTTTCCGCAAAAAATCGTTTTAGCGCGTAAATTTAGTCATGTTTCAGATTATTCTGTTAGCCAATAATTTTATACTACATTTTTTAATTAAACCTAATCTAAGTGTACTGTAATATAAGTATAGGACAAACAAGCTGAAGTGCTAATGGGCTGGTAAAATAGCTCAAAGAACCGACAAATGATGAGAAAGAAAGTGAGTCTTAAGTGGCGATCCCGTACAGGTAAACGCAGTGTAAGGTGACTCCTAATAAACGTGGCAAAGTTACGTCAATTACGTAATGGTGTGAGCTTACAAACTTCCAACCTTTACACATGTAAACACTATTCAAAAAAGCGCCACCAAATTTAGCGACCAAACTTCGGCATAACACAATTAAAAATAAGACAGCAAAAGTAAAAAATATTGTGTGCGTAAACGTGCCGAAGTTTGAATACGTAATTTATGTTAGTTGCTAAAGCTCAACATTCACACATATAAACTCTAAACAAGCACCACCAAAATTACAATATCAAAAAGAGAGACACTGATAAAAAAAGAGTCAGCTAATTAGGTAATTAGCTGAGAAAAAAATTACCTGTTTTTGAGGCTCGATGTTCTATCTATATAATCTAAGACTAAATTATTTAGACACACTACCAAAAATACGTCTTCAAAAGTAAACAGCAATATTTTGAGCGTAAACGTGTCAAAGTTCGATTGCGTAATTTTAGTAAGTAAAGTATCGCAATATTAAACCGTACAATTAGTTATTATCCTGACTCTAAGAGCTCTATATTGTTGTCCTTACCTGAAACTGCAACTATTTCATTATGAGACAAGTCCAAATGTGTTAAGTTTGTGAGATGCCGAAACGCGTAATCCTCCAACACATCAATTTGATTGTTGTGTAAAATCAATTGTGTAAGATTCATGAGACCTGTTGGAAGTAACAAATAATATTACATTAATAAATTTTAAACATAAATAAAAACTTAGTTACAGTAATAAAACATACAGTATGATTACGTGAACGCATTAATCTTTAACATGTACCAGTCGAATTTGAAAAATTCTTTATACATTTGATAGCTCATTTCTTGAGAAAGGTTATATGTTATTCAACATAATGATTCTACCACAGGAGAAGCTGCGTAATAGAGCTAGTTATGCATATAAAATATCAATAAGGGATTGAAATTCTTTAATAAATAAATTTTACTATTATTTAACAAACTATTTTTACCATATAATTTATTTGATAGACTTTCAACTATCTACTTTATCTATGATGATACACCACGGCAACTGACTATCATGGCATTTATTCAATAAAGAGAGATTAGTAGTCAACAGTAGGATTCTAATGAGTTGTAATACCAATGAATGTTAATAACCATATTTTTATGTAATACTTTATAACTCAAATAAAAATTTTAAGTCGACAATGTATTAGTCAAAAATAAAATAACAAATAATTCATCAATTATGTGTATTGATAAATTATTATAAGAATTTTGTATATATTTTCGTTTTAATTTAATTCTCAAAAACATTAACAATCCAGCAACAATCGTCATTGAGGCCGATTCTGGGGAGCCATTTCTCAAAACTTATATCTAAAATGAAACTTTTATAATAAATAAAATAATAAAATTTCTTAAATAAATTGTGTTGTGGTCCTTAGACCAAAAAATCTTTGATCTAGGACCACAACACAATTTCTTATAGATTTTAGTCGAAATTATTATAAATTTAGTTTATAATGACCCAAAAAAGTGTAATTTCGCGAGACTACATAATTAAAATATAAGTTTAAGAGAAAGATTTAGAGAAATAATGCTCATTATCTATAACTTCAAAAAACTAAACTGAAGAATAAAAGGATGAAAGTAAATATATTAACCTGATAAAGCTCCCCGCCGTATACTTGCAAATGTGTTATCAGATAATTGTAGAGTCGTTAAATAGCTGAGTGAGGGCACTGTCGTGGGCCCTAACGGACCCTCTAAAGCATTACTTGATAGATCTAAATCTCTCAGCTGATGAGCTTCCTGTTGGAGGAAATATATTAAACACACGTAGATATTGACTAAACTAGGTCGGTAAGGGGAATGGATTCCTTTTAATGGAGGTTATCCATTAAAAATAAATGGAATGGTAATCCCGTCTACATAATACGCTGAGTAGGCACCAATAAAATATATTAAATGGGTATGAAATCAGGTCAGTTGGCCTACCGTGACAAATTTACCATGAATTATTCACGACGGTTTAAACGGATATATTTTTATTATTTCAACCGGTAACTGTTGAACATAAGCTTTCCCCATAATAAGTATATTTCCAGTAGTCGCCATACTTGGCAAGATGCTGTCCATCCCTCGGTCGTAAGTTCTCTTAGTCACCTCTTACGACGCCCACGAGAAAGGCAGGGGTGGCTTATTCTATGCCGGGACACACACGGCAATTTAAACATACATAACTGAACAATCATATTATATTTTACTGTTTAAAAGTTTTATAAATACTTCATAATACATACTAATATCATATTTTAATGTAATAATATGCTGATTGATTTACGTGTATTTTATTTGATAATGCTCGTCTAGTTTCAGACAATCAAGCTCACGCTCATGTTATGGCCGTCCATAGCTAAGGGTCCCGGATAGTCCTAAAACTAGTCAAGCATTGTCGTCTAAAATAATCGTAAGTCAATCTGAATATTATTACAATGAAATGAAAATTCTTTTTATTAAGTTTATAATATTTAAATATATATTATTTTTATTCTATTATTCAAATACCTTCAAAGGTGCTAAAGCGGGAACTTTCAGCACGTTTCCACGTAATCGCAACACAGCCAGTTTCACCAAAGGTTTAAAGGCGTCTGGTGATATCGCCGTCAACTGATTATCGCTTAAATCGAGGTATGTTAAATTACGTATGCCCTGTAAAATACAAATTTCATATCATGTTGAAATTATATTCAGATACTTCATATTTCCAAGAAGGATTGACGTTAGACAGGTGGCCGGTTGTTAAACTAAAACCCAAACCCATGTTGTGTGATATGGATAAAAACTTTTTCGGTAACTCCAAAATTTATATACATGTTAATCTAGAACATGTTCCACAAATATAGATAGAGATAGTCGGAGTTGTTACGCCATCTAGTCCCAAAATAAACAGAGTATACTGTTTTGAACATGCGTTGCCTATTTGATTCCTCTGTTCTTTATACCCATGTCGTTACGTTGAAACACGAATGGTATTCTGGTAAAACCCAAACTGGTTGTCCCAAACTAAACAGAGTTTGAACTATGACTTCTTTATACCCTCGTTACGGCTCGGTATTCGTGCGTCTCTCTTATACACGCAGCGTGTATCTACAATTGCTACCACCTTTAATCTACTTCTAATCTGGCATTGCATTTCCGATAATCCCGTCGACTCCTCATTCGCAGTGCATTTTATATATTTTTTTTAATTTAAAACTTTAATAATATTAATCATCAGTAGTCATTTTAATTACTTCAATGCAGCAAAAGTTTAAGTTAGTATCTTACTACAGAATCCTATACGACATAATACCTTCTTCCATAATATATTCTTCTATAAAGTTCTTTATAAAGTCGTCATGTGGTATAAGATGGTCCAACATCTGAACTCTCTCATTCCCACTTATCAGTTTTATATCATTTACTATTGTAAATACAATACAATAACAAAAAAATAAAATAAAATATCATACATTACCTTAAATGAATTGGAGTCCAATACGTGTATTTTATTATTAGACAAATCTAACCGGTCGAGGTACCACAGACGTATTAACGCCTCCGTTGGAACGGTCGGTAATTGGTTATTTGGCAACCCTGAAACAACAGTGTATAATATAATAAACCTTTCCAAAAACCCAAGATAAAATGGCCCTCTTCATAATAAGCTAAATGTTTTTAATGCCCTAATATCTATTCAGGGTTACCATTTTCATCTTAAGTCTGAACCACAATTTTATACTTTTTAAAATAATTAATGCTACACAGTCATGCTAATCACGTAATCCTCATGTTAGAATGCCCTGTATTATGGAGAACTACCAATCAACAGCCATCCAGGTGTACGACTTAAAATACCCTGGGAGATAGGAATTATTAGTAATGAGAATCTGACAACCCCATTGCTAGAAATATACCCTATCAAGTCGACCTCCCCGCAGTTCACCCTGGAAACCGTTTTAATTAATTCTTTATAAATTCATCACAATGGACTGAATGACCTGTATTTATTCTCACTTATTAAACCCGAGCCAATTAATAAAAATTGTTTTCCTAAATTGGAATCGAACCTGAAACCTCATTTTCTCAACGTAACGTGCTTATTACAATATGTACAATATATCATCAATAGATTTATACACGTTTCATAACTCATAAAACACACACACACACAAAGAATTAAATTGTATTGTAAATTGAATTGAATTGTATTGTAAATGTAATTATTGTACTTTTTCTTAAATCAATATTATTTTATATAGTAATTATTATAATTATAGATTGACGTATCATAAGTATCTGTAACAGATGTATATGAATAAAGATTATTGATTGATTGATTGATTGATTAAAATCTATTTACGTGTCCAAGTAAATAAACAAAGTTTCTAAATGAAATTTTCAAAAACTATATCATGAACACATACAACGATCGATCTGCTATCTGCGAAAGAAGTCAAGATTCTACATAATTGACCTACATATGTGCATGAGACAAGTCATAAATGTGTATTATTAGTGTTGTTAAATGTGTATAATTGTGTAGTATTATGGGTATTTGACACTCAGTTCTCTCTACCTGCCCCATAACTGACCTAACATAAAAATAGACCAAAGATATTTTTCTACAAAATTTATATACAGAAGTCAAAAGATAAAGGTACGAGCCTTCCAGTAAAAAGCAAATTTTATTCCCTTTCTTATTTTGCCAAATTAGTATTATCATTCCAACAGTTAGAGATTCAAGACATTTGTAGGCGAGGCTGCGGCATTGCTCCCGAGAGAAATCTGCTAATGCTCTCCAACCCGTACCAAATTAGTGTAATTAATGTAATCTACCTTTAATCATCGCACATTATAATTTATTGGCAACATTAAAAACTATTTTTATTGCAAAAAAATATCACCACTAATATAAGCAGGATGAACTAGTTAGATGCATTTATATGCATACACAACAACCGATAGAGAAGAAAGGTTATTGAGTGGCGATCACAAAATGCAGTGTAGGATGACCCCCCACTATTATGGAGTGACCACCTGAAATGCATTTCAGGGAGTCAATGGATATAGGTGGCTGAGAACCGTTCTTTATGGCAATCTATGGATGAGGCGTATGTCCAGTAGTGAATGGATAATGGCTGAAATGATGATGATGATGATGATATGCATACACATGTAAAACACGATAAACATTCCAAAATGCACTGTAATATCCATGGTACACGTTGCCGTTCATGAGAACTATGGTGTTATGCCTCCATACCACCATAACACCGTGTAATTTTACTGCCATAGCTCACCCTTCAATCTAAACTACTAACTAGCTTCATTATAGAAACACGGATGGGATAGAGGTACCCATATAAAAACTTTTTATACAAATTCTACCTGAGCTAATTTTTATCTGTATTTTAATTTCACATTTTTTAGTTACTCACCCAAAGCCATCAAAGTGGCAGAGACACTGTTAAATGCACCTTGCTGCACTCTTCTGATATCTCCAGAAGATATGACTAGTCCATGTAATCCGACTCCCGCCAACTCAGCGATTGACGCGGACGAAAGCGCTGAAACACCTCGTAGTGCGCAATCCAAAAGCGATACAGCGCTGTTTTTATTTCTCGCCTTCTGCTCGCGTAGATGACGACCAATTATCTGAAAATAAAATGTAAAGTTATTAATACGTTCACAGTGAGAAATAAATTTAATGATAACCTCCGTAGCGAAGTAGTGGGCACAATGATTTTCGTAAATGTGGTCACAGTTACAATTCCAAGTTGCATTTATTTAGTAAATTATATATATATATATATATATATATATATATATATATATATATATATATATATATATATATATATAAGATTTTTATTAATAAGCACACAAACACAAATATTTGGAGTTGTTGTTCCACAACCGAGAGAGTAAACTTATTGATTTTCCTACGTATCGCAGTGTTTTAATGCAACGTACTCGTAGTAGGAGATTTGCCTACCGACATCTCCTGAAATTATTAAGTTCGTTTACGACATTTACCGTCAGCAGACCATTAGAAAATTTGATTATAAATAATAATAACAAATACTCTTTTTTTACTCCAATAATGTTAATGTGACTAATTACACAATATTATTTTATTGATAATTTATTTTAAATTTATTGACAAAATATTATTAAAAATGACTGAAATAACTATGAAGCAATCTTTCTTAATCAACCTTCGAGTCCTTAAATCTTTCGTTTTTTGTTTGTTACCTTCATCAGTTCTATACCATTTTTTTTTATTTTATTTTATCTGAAAGAATATACGGACATTTTTAAAAAATTCTAAATCATAAATTTCTATGACACTAATATCTCATCGAAATTTTGTCAATTTAATAATTTAGTTCTTAAATCAAACTAGTTTTGTTATAACTGAAGTGGTGTTATGGGGGAAGCGTATATTCCACAGTAGACAGTTAACAGCTGATATGATGATGATGATGATGAATAAATAGGACACAACACATAAAATAAAAAAAATTGTACCAAATTAATGTTAAAAGTTTATATAATATTTTAGTAATTTTTTTTTTCATTTTGAATTATTTTACAGGTCGAATCCGATCTGTTAAACGACGAGTACGTTCAATGAATAAATGAAAAATAATTTTACTGACACGATATTTTTACAACGATCAGTAAATTTACTTTAATAATGGAAATCAATGTAAATATTAAACATTTTCATGGAAAAATCAATAATCAATTCACATGTGTAATTTATATCGACATTTAAAGTTTACTTCGGCACGGTTTGATTGATAGACGGAAGTTGAGAGTTAGTTTAAATTAACGTAGTTTGTTTGTTTTAAACGCGTCCCAATCAAATACCACTGAACTTAATGTGTCCTATTTGAAGATTGCTCAAACTCTAACATCGTAGTACGGAAGTTTTAGGGCAATATAAATATTTTAATAGTCTTGTATACTAGTTTTCATCCATAGCTTTGCTCACGTTAAGTAAAATAAAAATTCATCTACCTATTCATCATAATCATTTCAACCGTTGTTACTGAACATAAGACTTCCCTATAAGGGGAGTTTTTCCAGTAGTTGCCACGCTTGGCAGGCGGATTGGCAACCGCAGTTAGGCTTTAGAGATGTTTTAAGATAGACGCTGCTACTCATGCCTCTACCATTAAGTTCCTTTAATATTTTCTTACGACACCCGTAAGAAAGGAAGAAGTGGCCTGTTCAATGACGGAACAACACAGACCCTATGTATTAATCTAACGTATATTCTATATGTTCAGCAGTAGACGTATAATGGCTGAAATCATTTCAGATGATGATGATGATATTCATAATATAAATATAAACATAACAAATATACAAATTCCGGCACAATACAAACATTTGTATTCGTGAGTACATCTGTTTTGTGTATTTTCTATGTATAATCAACAGACTTCAAAAATAAGGATGTTCACAATTCACATGTATTTTTGGTGTATTTTTTTAGAAATTCTTTTTTTGTCTGAAAGGAGACACTTTCAGTTTTTCAGTAGCGCTATACAACTTTTTTCCCAAATCAGTTCAATATTTGAATTTTTAAATCAAAATAACTGGTTTTATCACGACTGACGACGTCATAGAATAGACCACCCCTTACTTTCCCGTGGATGTTGTTGTTGTAAAACTCTATAGTCGTTTTTATTAATGTTCTATAATCAAAATATAAAATACAAAAATATAACAATGTAATAATTTATCTGACAGTTTTCTATTCTCTTCGAAACTTCACAAAATACAAACATTTTATTATTTATCGAACTGAGCTTATTATTTTCAACAGTCGTAAGAGTCAACTAAGGGAGAGCGAGGGATGGGCAGCAGCGTCCCTCTTAAAACATCCCTAAAAGCCTAACTGCGGTCGCCAACCCGCATACCAAGCATGGCAACTAGTGGCAAAACTCCTTACGGGGAAGGCTTATGTTCAGCAGTGGACAGTTAAGGGCTGAAATAATAATAATAATAATATAATAATAATATCACGACTGAATTCGATGTTTTTTTTTTTAATAGAACAACAAAATCTTAAATTGTCAGAAAGTTAAATTACTTAATGCATTTTTTTTCCGTCAATAATAAAATATTATTTCATCTATCTATATATTTTTATACCGATGTCTTCACCACTTCTGAACTTATTTTGATATTTATTTTCCTGTCATTAAGGTTTACTTCCACATAGAGTAGACCCACGTGTGTTGTTTTGTCTGTTGTTCGTGTGTGTTGTTTCTGTGCGCTATTTATGTTTGTGTTCGTGTGAGTTGTTTATATTTATCGTTCGTGTATGTTATTTGTGTGTGTTGTTTCTTGTATGTTTAATATATTCACGCTATACGCTTCGTGAAGAAAAATAAATTATAACAATTCAAATAAAAGTCAGCTAGAAGACATCTTCATACTACTTCTACTTCACAAGTACCATTGAATCTCGAATGGAAATTTTAGCAATCGTGTTATATCTAATTAGTTAAAAATTGCAAAACATTACAAAACAGTACCGGATTTTTATTACCAACATTTCAACGTAGCAAAAAGTTTCATTTAAATACCAATAGTGTATTTAAAATATGTGCCAACAACGCGAAAGTTTAACATTAATTTGTGGTACGCAAAACAATAATACACCATATCTTGGACAACACATATAACCTGTTTTATCAAATTTAAATTCGATAAAACATGTTCTATGTATTTTCCAAATCGCGTAGCCAAAACAACGAGCTGCAACTAGTATCCAATACAAACAAAAACTAAAATGAAATTGTAATAGTCACCGAATTGCCATTTGTCAAACCAACAAAATTACAGTCGACACAAACGACATAAAGCTGTCAAGGGAACCCATAGTACTGGTTATAAATCAACCACAACTCGTCTCTGTTTCAGAAGTTGAGTAAACAAAAGCTATCGATTGGCACCTGCGCGAGCTGACCGGACTTTGAGTAGGGTCCGACTGATCACACCCTTCGATCTTGACGTCAATAAACGTCTTACTGTTTAGCCGTGTTGTTAAGTGCCTTTGACCGATTATTAGAGAGAAAACGCAACGAAGATATCCAAAAAGGCCATGTGGAAATGATACTGTTAATTAGGCAATTAACCTGATGCGTAACTTTCTCAGCTATCGACTTAAAGTCGTAGATACCAGGATACATTTTAGCAAGAGCCGCCACAAAATATCTATGAGAATCTGCAAGTGAAACTAGCAATTGCTATAAAGCTTGAGCAACCGATAACCGATAACAAGAAAGGTTCTCAAGCAGCCGCCACGAGTATGGAGAATCCGCCGCAAGATGGAGTGACGAAAATATGAGAAAATAACCTACTCGTATGTTCAGGAATGGACAATAGATGCGCTGTAATGGCGATGATATTGAAAAATATATTATAATTTTTTAATGCGTAGAAAACGTAAGACTGCTGAATATAGGCCTCCCCAAAAAGGGGCAATTTGCCAGTAGTTGCCCCACTTGGCAGGCGAAATGACAACTGCATTGAGGCTTTGTTCTAAGAGAGACGCTGCTGCTCATCTCTCGACCATTAAATTCCTTTAATCGCCTCTTACTGCACTCATGGGAAAGAAAGGGCCTATTCTATGCCAGAACCACATAGCACGTTATTAATTAGGTATGTATTTTTTATTTATTTTTAGGGAAATTCACAGATAAATAAAAAACCATTAAATGCTAGACCAACAGGTAGACTAGAGGTCTGATTATAAGCTGCTACTTACAGTAAAATTAAGAGAGACATGTTCTAAAATGCGTAGGCCAAAACAAACACTATTATGAATTTAGGTAGACATATGGTGAGATTAATACCTATTAATTAAAGTAATTATGTAAATCAATATTTCATTGCCCTGATCAGATGACATATGACTGGAATATTTTTATTTTATTTGTGTACACAAATCCACCGTGCATTGGAAGACCACTTCAGATTCCATGGTTCCTTCAGAGGATAACTCTTCAGCGTAATGTACGTAAATCTTACTCTACAAGTCCACAGTGTAATTTATTTAACTGAACAGGGAACTGTTAAGACATTGTTTTTAAACGTTTTGTCTATTATAATAAAACTATCTTAGAAGTATAAATAAGTAGTTTTTGCTCCATAGAAAAGAACACCAACTTCGATTCAATTTGAAAAAAATATTTTTTCATATCGAATCATAAATAACGATGTTCTGAGATAACAAACATTAAAAAAAATTCAACCGAATGAAGGAAGAGAGGAAACAAATATTTATTGATAATTCAAGTGAATTATTTCATATTTATTGCGCTTTTTTTTAATTCCTTTATGCTTCCATCAAACCTATATCTTAAATTAAGGAAAATATCGTCAAGAATCCATGTTTGTGGCTGTGATGGAAACGGCTGTTTGTTTTACGGTCAGCTTCTTTTATGGGATGCCTCAGAACGTTTACGGGTTCGTAAATATCGTCTGGCTATACGCAATAATATCGTTTCAATTCTATTTTGCCTTTTGCTTCTATATCGTCACACATACGAATATACATCGTATGAATATAAAACAAAAATGCAAACAGACAAAGAATAATTTAAAACTTTTTTTAAAGGAAATTATTGTAGTATTTTTTTTATACTACTTAGAATGGCAAACAAGCTTATGGCCCACCTGATGGAAAATGGTAAACGTCACCTATAGGCATGAGCAGTACCATGGACATAACAGAGTATACTGTTTCACCCATGATACCCCCAATGCGTTGAGGACTCAGGTGTTATTCCTCTGTACCCAGTAAATTCACGCCATATCCCACCCTTCAAACCGAAACACAGCCATACAAACACAGCTGCTTTACGGTTGAAACACGAATGGGACAAAGGTAGGTATTTTTACTTTGTATTTTATTCATCATTATTTTTTCGCTTCCATTCCTTTTGTTTGTGTGCATCGTCTTTTATCTATATTGTTGCTACTTGTGAAAACCTATTAGTGGCTTGGTTTGTGATCCTAAACTGTATCTATTTGCTCTAGTGTAAACCCTGGTTTTCCTGTGAATAAATAAATAAATAAATAAAGTAATAATTACCTGAAGTGCAGTATGGTCGCCGGCACAACGCAGCGTGTGTGGTAAGTCGCAAGAGCATTCGGCGGCCGGACGTGCGCTCAACTCTGGACATCGCCACTCCGCCGCACCGAGAGACACTGCGCAAAGCATTGCCATTGCGCCCACTAGCCACATTCTGAAATAAAAAAAATATTATTTATTTACTTATTAATTAAAAATAATTATAACATTATAACAGCAAAAGCCAAATCAGTGTTATAAATCTAGTGTGCTAACATACAAAGTTATAATAAATGTATTTAACCCGACTCTAGAACTGAACCGCTTCTAATATCTTTAGCAGGCTACTACTAAATATATCAATGATGTTTATAATATTATTTATGTAATATAACAATATAAATCTATTTTTTAATAATATTTAGAATAACAAAGAATGGAAGAGAAAAACGTATTACGCCAACCCTAAGTATTGGGATAAGGGTTCTACCCTTGATGATGATAATGATGATGATTTAGAATAGCGACAACCAAGCTGAAGGTCCTCCTTATGGATTGTAGTAACCTATAAATATTAACAGCACTGTAAATACTACACATATAACATTATTATCATATCAGCCCTCAGCCGTCCACTGCTGAACATAAGCCATTCCCTCGGGGTGTTTTGCCAGTATTTGCCACGCTTGGCAGACGGATTAGCAATCGCAATTAGGCTTTAGAGGTATTCACCATAATGAATACACCTGGAATTCAGCACGATGGTTTCCATGGGGAACCACGTGGAGGTCGACTTGATAGGGTATATAGCTAGCAATGGGACTAATAGTCCGCATTAGTATCAATCCCTTTCCCCCTAAAGATTTAATCAATTAATCTATTTTTATTTGCATTATTAGACTTCAGGAGATTGTCTTATTTCCTTTACGTTTTCATTAAATTCTGAAACAGACTATACTCCGTCAGTATTTACAGCCCTAAACTTCGTAAAGTCGACCGCTCACAAGCAGAACTATATTGTTTATACATTTCAACGTCGCGTACTGTTGTAAAATTATCAAACGCCATTTAACACAGGGCAGAAAAGAAAATAACCGTATTAAATGTGATAAGAAGCGACAGAAGAGGCAATTCCGCTCATAACCTGTGGTACTTGTAAAAGAATCGGTACTGCAATATGTGTGGTTGCGACATAATGGGGCAGTTCCACTGACTGACGACCGGACGACGGTGTGCACTGTGGTACAAACCATAAGAAATAGCGGTATAGCGTAAGCAAAACAAATATAATTTTATTCTTACAAAATAAAGGAAAACCAGTACGATTAAACATTTCAAATATTTATGATCAGTTTGGATACAAAACATAATAAAACAAAGTAAAACTAATTTAATTTGAAAAATTATAAAAAAAAATGTAGTGTTGTTGAGTTAAAAGATAACTCATAAAAAATTTAACTAATCAACTTATATTGTACTCATACAAATTTTAAGATAAATTATATTGTAAATATAGAATATCCTATATGCATATTCCATATTTCGCATTAATTGCCAAATACAAATACGAAAATGGTAAAATATCTTTAAAAAGTCATGACGTAAGAGCAAATTCACTTTTACATTAATATTAGTACACATACCACGACATACATACATACATATCTATCACGCCTGTCTCCCATTAAAGTAGACAGAAACAATGGAACACCAAATGCTTCGATTCAAACAAACCTCTTTCGCTACAACATTATATACAAAATATAAAATGTTTTTACTCGGGTGAGAATAACAGTCTCTGATGTTAAAATTACAAAGTTGCCTCCGTAGCACCCAAAGCCTTTTGACATGGCTTACTTTGAGATTAACGGACTCTGAAGCACGAAGCGAATAATAATCATTGTTAAATGATCGAAATTTGACTTCAAAAATCTTAAAAAATCAGATCGCAGTCCAATGCTATTTAACCAAGCTATAGCTGTAAATAGCTCAAATCTCATAACTTATACCATGTCGTATCTCAGATCGGGACTTGAGAATAGGAGCAAATTACAGTACTATTGATAGCAATGTGTGATGGCCGACCGTTGACCCAGTATTGTGTTACCTTTACAACTAATAGTTTATTGAATTAAATTACTTAGTAAGCAAATGAAAATAAATATATCGGACTTTATACTCGAAAGGCTTTTTGGATGAAAATGGAAGTGTAACCCCACCTTCGATATTGTTATATATTAGTAACAATTACTAATATATAACAATATCGAATTATTACCAATGAATAATAGGTGAGGATAAAGTCAGGACAGTTGACACATCGTGACAAATTCATCATGAATTTATTAACTAAAAAAAAACTTAAAAACAAAGCCGCAGGAAATAGTTAGTATTAGAAAAATAGTAGATCACATCTACATATTATAATGTTGAAAAATATTTGGCGGCAAAATTCTACTAAACCGCGCGCTACGGCCGACTTTTCCAGAACTTTCAAGGAAAGTTTCACCGTACGTAGATCTGATAAATTCTTATTCTCCAGTAGTTTTAACAGCCAACCGAGCGTGCAGATCTATGCATTTCTTCTAACTACGCTAGTGCATTTAGCTGGTAGTTTAGTAAAATAGAAGATTCTACATAACCGAAATATCCATGTGATTATGGAGTGTTGATTATAAATAATATCTATAACTCCAAAAATATCGAGTCTTTAAAAAGTCGTATGAACTGTCTTGAACAGTAAAGAAGTTACAAATACATATTGATCCAAAAAAAATGTGTGAGGCATATTATTATAATTTAATTATTTATTTTATAACACAGGGGGCAAACAAGCATGCGGCTCACCTGATGGTAAGTGACTACCGTCGCCCATGATCATTTTACTGAATTAGTCATTATTTCGTGGATATATTCTGCTTAATAACGGCTCCGAATCCATATCGGTTTATAATTGACGGAGTTATGAAGTAACAAACATAAAAAAATACAATCAAATTGTAAACCTCCTATTTAAAATCTGTTAAGAACTAATTATTTTTAAATAAAAAAAACTACAAATGAATATTAAATGTGGAAGCCACCAAGCGTTCCCGTTGTCACCTTTTTGTTGATGGAACCAGTAAACCCAAAAAGGACACAGGCCACAAAAGGCTTCAGTGGGAACTAATAAAATATTTGTAATGGAGTGCTTTTCTGGCACCCAAACCTTGTCGGCCAATTTAAACTGACCTCTATGTCTTTAACGTAAAACTCTTTTTTATTCTATTTCATTCTGTTCGGAAAGGGTGAGGAGGGTCAACACAAACGGTCCCCATCGTCCTAACAATATATCACAAGTGTTAGTGGTTGTGACGCGAGCCGCAAGATACACAGTTTTAGAAGCAAACACTGTTTTATAAGTTTTTTATTTGTATTATAATTCAAAACATAATTAGTCGAATTTGCTCCGCAAAAATTTATGACTATTAACGTGACAAAATTTATATTGAATAGAAATCTCTCTACTGTTATTTAATAAGATTATATTCTACAAAAAAACCGACATCAATTATAGCAAAAAAAGTTATTTTGATTTAAAAATTAAACTTTTTAACCGATTTTGGTAAAATTAATATAAGACTAATCTAATAATTTATCTTTTCAGATGTAAAAAGAATTTTCTTAATCGATTTATAAATAACGGAGTTTTGAGGTAACAATTATAAAAAAAAATACAGACGAATTGATCTTGAATCTCCTTTTTTTAAGTTCGGTTGAAAACTAATAAAATACACTGATATACGGATACCCCAATTTTTTAATGGACGAAAATGAAATGGTGTTAACACATGAAATATCACTAATGTATTTAAAATATTAAAATAAAGCAAAATACAGCTAGAACACAAATGGTGACCATTCCTTTACTATCGGTATATGCTAACGAGGCATCAGTGAAATATAATAGAATAGGTGAAAATGAAAGCTGTCTCGCTTAGCCCACCGTAACAAATTCGATAAGAATTATCCAAGATGGATTCCAGAGGGAACCGTGTGGAGATGAACCTGATATATTACTGGTGATGAAGCTGTTAGACCTCATTACATTCCTCCCAGCACATTAAATCACGTACATCCTACTTTTTTTTTATACAACTTAGAATGGCAAACAAGCTGACGGCCCACCTGATGGAAAGTGGTAATCGTCGCCTATAGACATAAGCAGTACCATGGACGTAACAGTATACTGTTTCGACAATTATACTACCATGCGTTGCTATTCCTGAGGATTTAGATTACTTCTCTGTACCCTGTAAATACACGCCATATCCCATCCTTCAAACCGAAACACAGCCATGCAAACACAACTGCTTCACGGTTGAAACACGAATGGGACAGAGGTACCCAAGCAATCGACTTTTGTACAAAGTCTCTCTCTGATCTACTACACTATCATCATCATCATCTCAATCATTATCCATCAACGGCTGAACGTAGGCCTCCCCAAAGACTACCACTCAGGACGATCCTGAGCCACCTGTATCAACTGACTCCCGTCACTCCATCTAATGAGGGGGGAAAGGGATTGTTAGTAATAGAGACTGAGAATCCCATTGCTAGCAATATACTCAACCAGGTCGACCTCCTCGCGGTTCTCCCTGGAAACTATCATGGTTAATTCCAGAGGAATTCATCATGATGGGCTAACTGGCCTGTTTTTATTCTCATCTATCACCCTTCACTGGTGCTCCGCCAGCGTATCCCGTTAACGCAGGCGGGGTACCATACCATTTTCATCCATTGGAAAAAAAAACTCCATCCAATGAGATGTAGGGTCATCCTACATTGCGTTGACCCGTACGGGGTCACCACTTAAGAACTTATAATTACTATGTATATTTTTACTATACAACGAGTATGAATGCGAATATTTATGAGAATGTTTGGATGGGTACTTCAAGCAAATAGTACTGAAGGGATTTTAATAAATTTTGGTACGCAGTTAGGTTATATCCTAACTCAGAATACAAAGTACTTTATGTACCTATTAATTCACACGGGTAAAGCCGTGGAATACAACTAGTAATGTATATACACAACTGTATACATATCTTGGAACTGAGTTCGATTTTTTGTGGACGCTTTTGTGTAATGACCAATCAAAGCCTGATTAATAGTTTAATAGTGCAATAG